TACGGTACATGAGCGCGCGCGCACACACACACACACACACACACACACACACACACACACACACGCACGCAGAATGATGTTTGTTTGTTTGTTTGTTTGTATTGAGACAGGAAGAAAACTACAGAATCTCTTATAGCTTCCCAGAAGACCCTCCGGGCATTTGGAGCTGGGGAGCCCAGATTGGTCATTTATTTATCGTGTAATTTTTAGCAACTCCCTCTCCCTATCTTGTGATGTCTTGGTTGAGATTGGTCCCTACAGGCCCATCGAGATGCATGCTTAGTCCCCAATTGAGCAAGCTGTTTAGAAAGGATTAGGAAGTGTGGCCTTGCTGGAGGAGGTGTGTCACTGGGTGGGTGGGGGGCTTGGAGGTTTCAAAAGCCCACACCAGGCCCAGTGTCGATCTCTTCCTGCTGCCTAGGGATGAGGATGTGGCTCTCAGCTACTTCTCCAGCATCATGCCTGCCTACATGCCACCATGTTTCCTGCCGTGGTGACTCTGGACCAACCCTCAAAATTAAAAGCTTTCTTGTATAAGAGTGGCCTTGGTCATGGTGTCTTTTCACAGCAACAGAACAGTGACTTAAGGCATTTCTTCAGTATTGGGATTGAACAGGGCCTTGCATCTGATAGGCTAGAGCACTACTGGTGATCTACATTCCCAGCCTTAGTTTCCATTTCTGGCACTTAATGTCCCTCATCTTCCCAGGAGGAGGACAGTGACAGTTCTTCTGGGTAATGGGAAGATACGCAATCGGACACCACCGAGCAGAGGCCACCCCTCCGCTCGCACCGTGCTTGCGGCTACAGGCCGCAGAGAACGAGGTGAACCTGAGGCCAGGCGTGGGCACTGGAGGTTTGGACGAAGCCAGGCAAAGAGTGAGTCACCAAGATGTGGGATATGGGGTTGGAACAGGGCCCTAGAAATCGGCTTTGAGTGGGGGGAAGGAGTGGGGAGTTACTCCCAGGGTGGGGGGTGGGGTGCAATGTGAACCAGACTGTCAGGCTGATCTGTTCCTGGATGGAGCGATGTGGCTGGCTGGGCTTGCAAGCTGGGGCCTCTCTGATGACTCGTGGGTAGGGGAGCGGGGGTGGGGAGTAGATAAGAAAAAGTGGGGGGAATTGGAAAGGCAACTGCAGTCATTTTTATTATGACAATGACGTTATCCCTGGCTCCCTGCCCCACACCACCCTACCTTACCCTACCCTACCCTATCCTCACTCAGACCTGTGTAAAGCCAACCAATACTGGGAAGGGTTACCTCGCTCACTGGCTCACTCACGCACTTGCTCTTAGCTCTTAAGCTCTTGGCAAGTCTAGCAAACCACCATGGGAGACCAGCATGAGGTCATATAATTAGGAGTGTTCATAAGGTCCTGGGTATTTTCCCCCCCCCCCCAGCTTCTCGGATTTCCACCCAATCACAGTGTAACTGGCCACAGAAATTCTTTGCTTAAGTCAGCCCCCGCCCTGGACAAACTCCAGCAGGTCCCTAGTCCATTACACTACTGGCTTGTCCACCCCCGTTTTCATTTTTTTAAGTCAGGGTCTCTTGTAACTCAGGCTAGCTTTGAACTTCTGATCCTCCTGCCTCCACCTCCTAAGTGCTGTGAGTACAAGCTCCACCACACCAGACCTTAGAACTCCTCTACAGTAAGATTAGTTAGTGATTTTTTAAGATTAGAATATTTAATAGTACAGGGTAAGGGCTTTCATTATACATACATACACACATGTATACATGTATAAAAGGTACTTTGGTCATATCTACTCCCCATTACCTTCTGCTTTCACCTTGTTGCTGCTGCTGCTGTTGTTGATTTGTTTTGTGTTTTCTAGTTTTAAGACTGAGTGAAGACATGGCTCTGATGTTTCTGAGGTGGAGGCCAGAGAACCAGAAGCTCAAGGTTAACCTTACATACTAAGTTTGAGGCCAGCCTGGGCTATACGAGGCTATCCCAAAACAGACAACAAACAAAACTAGAGCAAGTTGGGTGCCTTTTGATCCCAGCACTCTTGAGGTAAAGGTAGACAGATTTCTGATTTCCAGGCTAGCTAGTGAGTTCCAGGTTAGCTAGGGCTATATAGTGAAACCTCCTCAAATCAAAACCAAAATCATCAAATAAAACACACACACACACACACACACACACACACACACACACACACACAGCAAACTAAAACAGGAAACACAAAGCTCATGTGAGTCTTGTCCACAAAAGCTAATCAGATCTGGTTCTGTTACATGGCAATTGGTAAACTCCATCCCGGGACCCGGACCTGACTTCACAGACATCTCTGCTACCCTCGAATTCAGAGAAAGTAAGAGGCCATCAAATGTTTAGGCTTTGTGGGTTAGGAGGCACAAGTCAAAGTTCTCATGGAGGCTGCGAAGGACAGTTCTTATCTGAGTGAGAGTGTCGGGCAGTGAACATGGCTGGCCTCTCGCACTGTATGGAGCTGAGAGGTAGTGCTGAGCTGGGGGTGTGTCTCAGTGGTAGAGCGGCCACCTCGAATGAGCAAGGCCCTAGTTTCAATGTGAAGCACTGGGGGGGGGGGGGGCTGTGGTCTATTACATCTGTTCCCGAGGAAGCCTGTGCTCACTGAGGGCCTCTACAGAGTCCTGCTTTTTTCCTAGGAAGCAGGCTAAATAGAGGTCCTCTTCCCACAGCTGGCTCTTTCCATGTCTGTAGCTGTATCACTGCCAGATGACGGTCAGGTGAGCCCAGTGGTGGTCAGTGACACTGTGACCTTTCAACACCACACCACTTTCCCTTGGCATGCGGCTGGTGTGTTTCTTCCTCAGGGAAGAGGGGCGGCACAGTGCTGATCTGCCCACCCTTGGGCTTGTGCACTCAGAGTCACCTTCCTATTGTTTTTTTCTTTTAATAAGAGAACTAGACTTTTGAGTTCATTTTATTTTACATGTACCGGTGTACTGATTGCATTCCTGTCTGTGCACCATATGCATGTGGTGCCCACAGAGGCCAGAAGAGGGTGTCAGATCTCCCGGAATTGGAGTTACAGATGGCTGTGATCTGCCATGTGGGTGCTGGGAATTGAACTCAGGTCTTCTGGAAGAACTCCATTTACAATGAGAGCAGAGAGACGGAGCCGTCTCTCCGGTCCTGACCTTCCTACTTCTTTCAGGCCTTTTGCAACTCAAGTTTCATCTAGTTTACAGAGACCATAAAAGCACCCTTGGCCCACGTCACCTGGGTGCTCAGCCACAGTCTTCTGAAAAAAATCAGATTAGCTATGGGAGTTTGCACACTGTTCTTACTCATCTCCCCAAGGCTGTGGGTTCCCTAGGGCAGGCAGAGAACATGAAAACCCACAAGAGACACTGAGGTCATCTGCACGTGACTCTCAGCTTCTCCTCTCAAGTGCTCTCGGAGGATACAGTCGCTTACCCAGGGGCTCTGTGATGTTCCAGACATCCTGGAGCTCAGCTACACACAGATGCAAGCAGCCACTGGGCCCGGGGGCAAGCACCAGAGCCAGTGCTGCTGAGCCAGCAGGGCCCGTGAGTGTGTGTGTGTGTGTGTGTGTGTGTGTGTGTGTGTGTATGGTGTGCCCCAAGAAGCAGCCTCTGACGATGAGGTGCTCAGGAGGACAGCATGAACCCATAGATTGCAGGTGCCAGAGCGCAGCCTGGGCAACTCCTGCCCAACCACTGCCCCATCCCGTGCCCACCCAGAGGCACCCAGTTCTGTGTGAGGCACCCTGGTTCTGTCCTCAGTCCAACCAGGTTCTGAGCCTTGATGCACCTGTTAAAACAATATATTTATTCTGAGGGTTAATGAAAAATTAACATCAATCCCAGGGAGAATTGCCGGCTCCAGGTGGACACTTAATAAAGGCTACTTACTATTAGCAGCCCGATGAACAATGGGTGGCCTTCAGAGAGAACTTTGGAGAAATCCCAGAGGAGAAATGGGGCCTCGCCCTGATTCTGTAAGAGGAGCTACAAGCAGAGGTTAGGGATGTGGCTCCCTGGATAAGAGCTTTTGCTGTGCAAGCATGAGGACCTGAGTTCGAATCCTCAGCCCTCACCTAAAAAGCTGGGTGTGGCTGGGTACATGCCTGTAACCTCAGTGCTGCAGCGGGGGGGGGGGGAGGGGAGGAGGATTTTTGCCTGCCAGCCTAGTGAGAGACCCATCTCAAGGGAATAAGGTGGGGGGTAGAGCTGAAAAGCCAATGTCCTTTGTCCTCTGTCTATGTGCAGAACACACACACACTCACACACACCATTGCCACCCCTATTACTACCACCACCACCATCACCACACAGAAAAAGACATAGGTAAAGGCCACAGGCACCTGTGACCTGCGAAAGCCACTCATAACCCCCTCTTTTTCCTTTGTAAGAAAAGGTTTTGTAGCTAGGTGAAGTGGTGCATACTTTGGTCCCAACATTCGGGAGGCAGAAGTCTAGCCTGGTCTACAGAGTAAGTTTCAGGTCAACCGAGGCTACAAGACCTGTGTATGTGCTCCATAGGTGTGAGTGCCCATGGAGACCAGAAGAGGGCACCAGATCCTCCTGAACTGGAGTGTCTGATCATGAGGTGTCACGTCAGTGCTGGGAACCGAACCCAGGTCCTCAGCAAAGGCAACAAGTGCTCTTAACTACTGAGCCATCTCTACAGCCCCAAGATTTGCTTTTAAATTGCTCTTTATGTGTATATATGTCTCTCTGTGTGTATGGCACATGTATGTATATGTGGTTATCCTGGAAGGTCGGAAGGGGAGTATTGGATCTTCTGGGGATGGAGGATGGAGCTCCAGTGGTTATGAACTGCTTCATGTGGATGTTGGGAACCAAACTCAGATCCTCTGGAAGAGCAGCAAGTACTCTTACCTGCTGAGCCTTCTATTCAGCCCTTCATGGCCCCTTCTCACCTCTCATTGGAGTCTCTCTTAGTCCCTCCCTCCACGGCCTCTGTGGAAGAGACATGCACCCTCCATAGTCCCCAGACTTAGCAGCCAACTGCACATCTTAAGAGATGCGGTTTATTTCTTGGCTCAGGGGAGGGTGAACATGTGTCAAGCAGAGGTCTGCCCACCTGATTCCTGTAGAACCCAGAGGGGTTTTAGTTTAATGTACATGCATTAAAAAGTCCTTCAGTTGCTGCAGAGGAAACATTAGAAGCGATGCCTTGAGGTCGCAGCCCAAGGCCTGCACCACAGGACACAGGCAAAGAAAGATGGCTCACAGTATGCACGGGCTATAGGAGACATGGCGAGACACGCGCCTGGTGGCTCAGCTGGGAGCTGTCGGTGTGATGACAACGTGGCTCTTCTGAGATGGAAAAGGCCCTGTCACATTATCACAGGCCCTGCTTAGGTGTGCAAGGCCACGGACCTTCAGTGTGTTGTGTACCCTGGAGTGGTAGGAGGTTGGAAGCACCAAATAGCCTAACCTGTCCCCTCAGCGGGCAGCACAGAAAAATGGCAGTTCTTCAGAACAGAGAAAGCCCCTCAGTCTTCTTGGCTACCCCGTCTCTCCCTTTACAAGGCCCCAGATATCCTTCTCCAGTCATCTAGGACAGGAGGTCTCACCAATCTTCACCAAAAATAGATGGACTTGGGCATGATGCTGCATGCCTTTAAACCCAGCAGTCTGGAGGAAGAGGCAGGTGGATCTCTGAATTCGATGCCAGCCTGGTCTACAGGGGGAGTTCCAGGACAGCCAGGGTTACACAGAGAAACCCTGTCCCGAACGCCCCAAAAAATCTGCTCCTGGCTTGGTGTGGTGTCACACACCTTTAAACTCTGGAGGCAGAGGCAAGCAGGTCTCTGTGAGTTCTAGGCCAAGGCCACTCAGGGCTATATAATGAGACTACAACAAAACAAAACAAAACAAAACCCTACAACCCGCTCCCCAGCCTCTGCTCCAGATCTGTAAAATGGCTTATGGGAGAGAGATGCAAGAGATCTGAACCTGTTTGGAGGCGCCTGTGAGGGAGCTGTGAGTCTTTGGATCATCAAAATGTCTTAAAATACTGGGAACAAGAGTCCAGTTGTTTTCAAAGTGTCTGTTCAGACCTGAGACTGTCCCCACCTGCAGCAGAGACCCGCTTGAGAATGGAGGCGGCTTAGAGAGGCAGAATGGGGCAGGCTTTCTCCCAGGCTCCTGCCCAAGGCGGCCAGGCTGCAGTGCCCAGCTTGAAACCACCAAGCCCTCTGGGAAGGACTCAACTCTATCCTTCTGTGGTCTAGGTAGAGTCTGTGTGGTCCCAGAACGTGGTTCCTGGACACCTATTTTCCTAACACACTCCCAACTGTCACCTGCTAGGCAGTGAGGGCAGACTACCTGGAAGGTGCGGCCTGGGCTTAGGGCCATGCTAACAAGAGGCAGGGGCCTGGTGGCAGGACCTTGAGACAATCAGGCTCTTAGGCTGGTGGCCCTCTCCTCCCTGCCTCTTCGTATCTGCTGAGGGTGGGACTTAGGGGGCTGAACCAGGCAGCTGGTTCTGGGACAGCTGCCGAGTCCTGGGGAGTCCCAGGATGGAGAGTTTGGCCAGTGAGGGTGGTCTAGTCACAGCCCTTGTATCCACCTGTGGCTTTGGTCAGGCATCCCCGCTCTGTCTCTGCAGCCACAGGAACTTTCCAGTCCAGGAACTTTCAGTTTCTGTTACAGAAGCACAGCCAGGACCTGCATGGGCTGAAAACCAAGCTGGCAGGAGGAAGCAGGTGCCCTGAAGGTTGCTAGGATGGGAACTCGTAGTGTCTCAGGTGCTCATCCGCCACGGACATGTAGGTGGCCCTCATGCTGGGAGAGTACTATGGAGGAGAAGAGGGACAGTCAGAACAGGGCACAGCTTGCTATTGGGTCAACCTGACACTATACAGCCTGCCTTCCCCTCTGTGGATGCTGGTTCCACACACATGGATTCAACTGTGGATCAAAGCTCAAAACCAAAAAATGCTTGTACTATGTATGTATGTACTGGTGTTCTTCTATTGTTTCTGTTACTTATTTATTTAGACAGAGTCTTACTTTTGTAGTCTAGGATAGCCTGGAGCTCCTTATGCAGCCAGGCTAGACTCCATTCAACTCAAAAAGGTGGTTTTGGTCTCAGCCAGTGAGCTGGAATTATGTGTGTATGTCACCACACCCAGAGTCAATGAAGCAACAATTTGCAGAGTTAGATTGCATTAGTAACCCGACTATGATCCTGAACATACAGAAGGGTGTGTGCAGGTCACATGAAAAATAGCACATTCTTTTACATAAGGCGCTCGAGCATCCTCGGAGTTTGGTATCCTGGGATTCCTGGAGCCAGTCCTCTATGGACACTGAGGGAATAAGTGCACCAGCAACGGTTCTGGGAACTTCAGAGGAATGACGACCTGGCCAGCGACAGCAGCCAGACAGTGTTTTTATCACAAGGTATCGTAGCTTGGGGGAATACCAGGGTGGCTTGAGAAGCGTCATGCCCACTGATGCCTCCCTCCTGTCTGACATCCGGCCTCTAGCACAGTGTGCACACACAGCAGGGATCTTCCTTCCTCCACCCCAGCACCCAGGCAGCTGCTGTGTATCAGGTGTGCCAGGGAAGTTCGGAGCAATTAGCTAGGGGCCAGAAGACTGAGGGGCGCAGACCCACAGATCCTAGGAGTCACGTCTGAATCATAAGTGTGAACCATATGTGTGTAGCTGCCATCTACATTGTTTTTGAAGGTCTTGCATTACCTTAAAGCTTGCCCCGTAGTTGAAGTTGGTTGGCCAGTGAGCCCCAGGGATTCATTCACCCGTCTCCACCTCTCCAGTGCTGAGGTTACAGTACAGACTACCACACCTAGCTTTTTAGTTCTGAAGGCTCGAATTCAGCCCCCAAGGCACACACTTTACTGACTGAACAGTCATCCAGTCCCCATCTAAACATTTTACCTTCCCAGTGGCTTCAGCAGAGGTCTTAGAAGACCTGTTTCCCCACTTGGAAAAAACAAATGGACCTAAACCAATTCAGCAAGACCCTTTCTCTAAGGGTCTTTAAATATCTAGGGAGTTTTAAAGATCCCCATGCTCAGGCCATACCCATGAAGGTCCCCCCCCCCCATTGAGATAGGATACAGAAAGTAGAAAACCAAACTTTTTAAAGTGTCACCAAGATTCTACACCTTCCTTCCTTCCTTCCTTTTTTTTTTTTTTTTAACACAGGGTTTCAGGCTTCTCTGTGTAACAGTCCTGGCATCTGCTGTGGTAGATCAGGCTCACCTCACACTCAGCGATCCGCCTGCCTCTGCCTCCCAAGTGCTGGGGCTAAAGGTGTGTGCCCACCACTGCCCAGCCAGACCTTTTCCATTTCTTAACAAGCTCATGAGTGCTGCTGGTGTGCTGACTCCAGGGTCAGAGTCTCCAGGCCCCAGGGCCATTTCTGAGGTCTAGGTGACACACAGCAGGAAGCACGCCACTTGGGTTAGGATGAGGAGGAGAAAGGTGCATGAGGCCCTTCAGGTAGCCCAGTGCATCTCCGTGAGGTGATGCTGTCTCTTAGACACACATACAGTGTCTAAGGATGGTCCAGCTGGGTCAGGACTGGGGATGGGATACCGTGGACACCTAGCAAGCAGAAGCCAGATAAGCATCCCACAACGCACAGGCTGGCTTCAACACTCAGGGCCATCCTGTCCATCAGAGCCCTGGGACTGGCGAGTGAGGCAGCCTGAGCGTGGTGGTTCTCTCCATTGGCTCCTAGGCCAGCAGCTTTGCCTGGGAATAGGCTGGATGAGCAAATGCCTGGGTCCCAGCCCAGATTCCACAAGCTTTTTTACAAGATTCCAGTGAGCACACAAGCACAAGACCCTTCCCCTGAAACAGCCAGGTTTCCTTGAAATGGGTCAGTTTCAAGCAGGGTGGCCATGAGGTCCCCTCTGCTCTAATCCTTACCCAATGGTAAGGGTTACAAGGGTCTCCATTACAAGACAGAGAACTTTGAAAAGACCAATCAGAATTTTGTTCCTTGTTTCTGCTTTCCTTGGTCCTTTGCTGTCTGTAAAACCCATCTCTTGAGGCTGGGGGTACAGCTTGGTGGTAGACAGAGCATGTGTGAGGTCCTGAGTTCTAGTCCTCAGTACCAATACTGCCTGCCCCTTTCAACAGTACTGGTATTTTATGGGGTTTAGAACAGAAGATAAAGCCATGGTTAGAACTGAAGACAAAGCCATGGACGATCTTGAACTCAGGGATTTTCACAATTACCCTGAGTTATTTTTGTTGGGGTCTAGGAAGGGGTCTGGGAACAAGAGATTCCTGGGGAGAGGTGAGGGGAAGACAACTTTCCAGGCTGTGCCTTTGAAGGCCTTGATTCCTGTCACTCACACTCTAACTGTTTGGAGGGGGGCAGAAGCAGAGGCAGAACCCTCTCCACCTCACAGGCTTGTGCTCAAGTTCAGCAACAGCACCTGGGGTGGAGGGTAGCCAGCAGCGCTGCCTTCCTGTCCTGCCTGTTTCCATGGATGACAGCATCAGTACCTGTCTCTCCAGATGTCCCCAGCAAGGGCAGAGGGTGGGAATCTTCCCCGGGCGCTGGCTGAGACAGGGCAGCTGGTAATCAACTTTGCCCAGGCAATGAGAGCTGTTCTGTCCTGAAGCCTTGCAAATAAGGTCAGCTATTGTTTACTTCAGCTAAGAACAAGGAGAGTGGCCTGATTGTCTCCGACAGAAGGTAACCTAAAAATCACTTTCATTTACAGTCATAGTATACTGATTAATTCCTTTTTCACAGCAGCAGATTTTCCCAAATCATGTTTGGCTTAGTTTAATAATAAAGTCAGTCTGTGTCCCTGGGGCCTGGCAGCTGGAGGGAGATAGAACTGGAAAGCTGACTGACAGAAGGCAGGGTGGGACTTTCAAGGTGCAGCCTCTAACTCACTGCTACATAAACCGTGGGAGGGGCATGTCTGTGAAGCATACACTTGGGGGTGGAGTTGTAGAATATTATTTTCAGGTGTGTGACTTTTGTTTATGCTGCAATTTCTTAACTCTGTGAAGCTGTGTTACTCGCCTGTCTAAAACACCTGATGGCTTAATAAAGAGCCAAATGGCCAATAGCGAGACAGAAGAAATAGACAAGGCTGACAGGAAGAGAGAATAAACAGAAGGAGAAATCTGGGAAGGAAGGAGGATGACACTAGGGGCCAGCCACCCAGCCACCCAGCCACCCAGTCACCCAGCCACCCACCCAGCCACCCAGTCACCCAGTCACCCAGCCACCCAGCCAGCCACTCAGCCACCCATCCACCCAGCCAGCCATCCAGCCAGCCATCCACCCAGCCACTCAGCCACCCATCCACTCAGCCATCCACCCATCCACCCATCTACCCACCCAGCCAGCCATCCACCCAGCCACTCAGCCACCCAGCCAGCCATCCACCCAGCCACTCAGCCACCCAGCCACTCAGCCACTCAGCCACCCACCCAGCCATCCACCCATCCACCCAGCCACTCAGCCACCCATCCACCCACCCACCCATCCACCCAGCCAGCCAGCCTCAGAGTTAAGAGTGAAAGTACAGAGTTAAGGAAAGGAAAAAGCCCAGAGACAAAAGGTAGATGGAATAATTTAAATGAAAGAAAACTGGCTAGAAATAAGCCAACCTAAGGCCAGGCATTCATATAAATAAATGAATAAATAAGCCTCTCAAAGCTATGGGGGGGGGAGGGAAGGGGAGTAATCAGAAGTTCAAGGTCAGCCTTGGCTATATAGTGTAAGCCTTGAGTTAAGAGTTCAGGCAGCGTGAGACCCTGCTCAAAAAAAATAATAAGGGGCTGGGCTCAGCAATTAAGAGCACTTTCTGCTCTTCCAGAGGACCTGGGTTCGGTTCCCAGAACCCACATGGCGGTTTAAAAATCATCCGTAACTCCAGTCCCAGAGGATCTGATACCCTCTTCTGGCCTCCACAGTACCAGGCATGTATACGGTGCAGGCAAAGCCCCCAAGCACATCAAATAATGAATGAATGAACGAATAAATAAATAAAAGCAGAATAAATTTCCTTTTGGTCTTACAATACAAGAATAATTTTTCTTTTTCACCTTTTCCTTTTGAAGTAAGATCTCCATCTCAGGATTGTCTTGAGCTTGCTGTGTGCGACCTTGAACTTCTTGAGTCACCACACCCAGCTTTACACTGTGCTGGGGTTTGAACCCCAGGTTTCTTGCATGCTAGACTCTAACATTGGCTCACATTCCTAGCCCTAGGAGTAGTTTCTCCAGGGCCATGTAAAGGCCATTACCGCAGAAGACACTCTGTCCCCCAGGGACAGCTTACGTGCCTAGCTCCAAGTTGGAACCCCTTTGACTGTCATGTGAGATAAGAAATTTGCTTCTCCCTCTGAGTAAAAACAATGACCAACCAAGCATGGATATCCCAACTACCAGGTGGATTTATGAGGGGCTGGTGTGACAAATGCTGTCGCTGGTCCTCTTGCTTGAAGACAGAAGCCATTTATCTTGAGGACAGCTGTGCAATGGGCCATGCCCAAGAGACCATCTAATAGGGTGAGATTGCTTTGTGTCTTTATAGTCTAGGTAGCTGATGGCCCGTGACGTGTGTGGCAGTCTGCTTTAATGCCTATTTGATAGCAAAGCTGTTGCCTTCTTTTCTATTTCAATGGGGATCACGCACTCTGTTGACAGGTCCTATTTTTGATTATGTCCCTGACAGGGACCAGGGCAGTGACTTTGACACAGAAGGAATACTTACTGTGGGAGGAGGGGACCCTCTCCCGATGAGTGGCACATTCTCGTATCGTGGGTTCCCACCAAAGAGTACGGCCTGGTTCCTGTGGGCCGAGAGGAGAGATCAGGTGTGCGTGCGTGCGTGCGTGCGTGCGTGCGTGCGTGCGTGCGTGTGTGTGTATGAACTTGTGCTCATGGGAGTTGAGGGTGGTGGCGGGTGGAGATGGGTGTGATGGAGGGGTTGTGGGTAGGGCAATAAAGGAATAAGAGCTGGGCGAGGTGGCTCACATCTGTAATCACAGCACTTGAGGGAGGCTGAGGACAGCTTGGACTACAGTGTGAGACTGTCTCAAAATTTAATAAAATAAAAAGGAAAGAGCACTCTAGGGTGGCAGGTCCTCAACCTTCCTGATGCTGCAACCCTTTAACACAGTTGCTCATGTTGTGGTGACCCCCAACAGCGAAGTGAGTTCATTACTACTTCATAGCTGTAAGTGATATGCAGGGTAGCTGAGATCCCACAGGTTGAGAACCACTGCTCCAGAAGGGACAGATGCCAGGGGTACCATAACTTGGATAAGTGCATCTTCTCAGGCCTGGCACTGACCTGGAGCCTTGTGGCAGAAGTGCACAGCTTGACACCTATAGCGTGCTTTTCTCCAGCATACACGGCTGTGGAGGGGTGGCCAGAGGCTCCTATCAGGCAACCTGTGACCTCTGATGCCTTCCCTCCCGCATGTGTTTTTGGGGACCAAACACTCTGTCTCAACCTCACTCCAGGGCTGGGAGGGCCATGCTTGCCAGCCTGGGTGTCGGGGTGTGGGAGTTTCGGGGCCCTACTGTGCGTACATGTACTCGGAGACAGGGGCATTGGAGATGGTCTGAGTGGGAGGATGAAGACTGCACTGGCTGCCAAGGCCACTGCTGTAGCTGCAGAAACTGTGCAGCTGTCCCCTCATCGGGTTGTGTGCTGCGATGCGCCGAGCTTGGGGGTTGAAAGGGTCATCGTCGTCAATGTCGTCATAGTCTCTGCCCCTAGAACAAGATGTAGAAGTTGGTCAGCCATGAGGGGTGAGGCTCAAGGCCGTGGGGTCCTATTCTGCTCCCCAGTCTCTCTTCCTAGGGCACTTTCAGGCCATATGCATCTTCTTCAGCATTTACAAAAAGCATGGTCTTCAGGGGTACAACTTACTGCACCTGACCCAAAGTGCACATCTGCCTCTTCCAGGCAGCGCACCACACCGGCTGCATACATGGTGGCGAGGAGGCGGCCCGCTCCCTCTATCTCGTCCACCTGTGAGGTCCTGAGCTCCTGTCTTTGTCTCGCTCCATAAGGTGCCTGTAGCTGTCATCTTAACAGTACTTTCTTTGACCCTCCCTGCTATTTTCTGGGGCCTCTTTCTCAGCATGTCACCTTACACAGTCTTGCCTAGGAAGAAGCACAAGGGATACTGGGCAGTGACAGCAGGGTTGTCACCATCTTTGGCCCAGTTACTTTTGCAGGGATCTATTTTACTTCTCAAGGAAATCCAGCCAGGCTGCAGGGGCTGCAGGCCAGACCCTCTGCTACTCTGCACTGTCTCAGGTGACCAGCTCATTGGTGACCCCCTGCAGAAAGCCTTCATGTTGCAGGGGGGCACCTCCTTCCTGGTATCCTACCTGTTGATGAAGTGTTTCCAGGCCCGGGGCCCCGCACAGGTCAGGGTAGAGAAAGCCAGGGCAGCCAGGATGGAGAAGAGACCAAGGAATAGCAGACCCTCAATGCCATCATAGCAGATACCAGTGAGGGCATCCAGGTAGTCCTGGGGAAACAGAGACATGTCATTGCAGAGGGATGTGTGGCAAGCCTAGGGGCTGAGCCCTTCCATGAAAACTCCTCTCCTTCCTGCCTTTGCCTACCATCATCTGATTGACCCCCATCCAAAGCAGAGGCCACTGCCTTTTAGGGTCCCCACTCCAGAGCCATCTGACAACTCCTTGGGACAGACTGCTCTACAAGGATTTTCTGACCTCCTACAGTATGGCAGACACTGGAGGCTGACTTCAAACAAGACAGATGTGATGGGAGATGCCAGGCTTGGAGATGTGGTCACTGCCATCGCCAACTCAGATGAGGTGGTGGTTAGTTGGAGAATTGCAAACAGAGTACATCTATAACTCTTTCATTAAAAAAAAGTTTATTTTTTATTTCTAAGTGTAAAGGGGGTTGTGAGGGGCATATATGGGCCATAGCACACATGTTTACTCTAAATCTATATAGGTCGTAGAAGATGTTGATAAACATTGGCTCACTGCTTGGGGTGAGGCACTCATATACCCCCAGTGGCCCTTGAATTATTGCATCTAAGTAAGGTTAGGTTTTTTGGTACGTTTTGAACAGAATCTCACTATGTAGCCCTACCTGACCTGGAACTCACAGAGATCCACTTGCTTCTGCCTCCAAGGACTGGGTATTAAAGGTGTGTGCTACCATATCTGGATTGTCCTCTCTCTCTCTTTCTCTCTGAGACAGGGCTTTACTATATAGCCCAGATGGTCTTAAATTCATGATCCTCCTCCCTCAGTCTCTAAATACTAGGACTACAAGCATGCATCAGTATGTCTGGTACATTGTATCCTGGCAATGAGATTGAAACACTGACTTGCAAGGCGGGGAGATGGATGGGTTGACCAGATGGCTATTAGTCTAGGCAGTGGGTAGCTATACATTAATCATTTAGGTCAAGAGTCTTCCACTGTTCTAAAACTATCCTGCCTAGCATTACAATAGATTCCTATTGTAAGTTCCTTTCATGTAATCAAGACGCTAGCTATTTCCTTCCATTTCCCACTATTTGGCTTCAGCTTCCTCATTTCTGGGCCTGAAGGGAATCCAGATAGTCCTTTTCCTATGTCTTTGCTGACTTCTCTCTGGGAAAATGTGCCCTGCTGGTGTACCCCACAGTCACCTAGTACCTTGTGCAGCCCTCGGCAATCCAACATGGCAGTCAGCTGGTGCAGGCTGGTCTCAGAGGAGTTTAGCAAAATCTGGATGCCAAGAAGGTCTTTCTGGAGTAGGAAAAGGGAAAGAGAAGGCAGGGTGAGCAGCTGGGGAGGGCGTGCATACAAGCTTACAAAGAGTGGCTAGGCCAAGAGGCCTTTGGATGCGAGGAAAGGGCTGAGCCACAGGGAGTGAGGGAGCGATGCACAGCTGGCAGGATGCTCACCCAAGCCTGGCTGGGGTGCAGGTTGGAGTGTGGCGAGGGAAGGGTGCATGGGGTGGGGTTCAACGAGGGCTCCCCTCCTCCCAACACGGCTGCTGTGAGTGGCAGGTCCCTTACCTCCGCTGTAGGGAAGAGTGGCACAGCAAACTGCAGCAGGCCTACAACTTGAATCTGCATGGTGGTCAGTGAGCGCTGGAAGACGGTCAATGACTGGGTGGAGAGACCACAGGCCCCCCGTGAGAATCCGTTCCCCAGGGGTTCCACAGCTACCAGGAGGGTTGCCCTCCTATAGCTACATCAGCGTCAGCCAACTGCATAGGAGGGGCAGGCAGTACCACTGTGAAGGGCTTCTTGGACTGCGGATTCAGGGGACAGGCATAAGGAATTGGATTCCACTGGTTTTGGAATACTGGACCTTAACTCACAGAAGGAAACTGCTCCCCAGCATTCAGATCTCGAGCCATCTGGTGAACACAACCACTATGGCACCACGATTGTGCTCCTCCCGCAAAAGACATCTTTCCCTACATCCCTCTGGCTTTTTAAGAGCTCCACAGTCTTCTTGCTTCTCGGTGCTCAGATGTAACCCTCACACTACATGGAACTTGCCATTGAGCTTGTGAGAAAAGCAGAACCTTGGGACCTATCCCCACCGGCCACAGCACCGGCAGAGTAACCAGCTCTCCAGGGAGGTGGACACTCGTGAGCATAGGAGAAAGGTATAGAATGTAGCGACCAAGAACAAAACTCCCTCCCTTCAGAGAACAGCTAAGAGAGGGACCACAGTGAAGCGATGCCCAGCTGTCCACCATCCTGATACGTGATGGGGCTCAGGATCCAGGGAGAGGGAGGTGAGGAGGGGCTGTGGGAAGGGTGTGCTCGAGGGTGTGCTTGGGGCTGTACCTGCTGGAAGGGGCTGCTTAGACTCTGACTGCAATGCAGGTAGTAGTGGGCCACCTCTGCAAAGCAAGAGTATCAGTGTCAGGAAGCTCACAGCGAACCAGACCCTCTGCCTGCCCAGTGGTCCACCCCACTCCCAAAGAAGGCAGTTTTCCAGAAAGTGGTCCAGTGGTCTAGAGGAAGCTAAGTTTGGGCTACGGAGATGCTTGGTGACCACAGGAAGAGGTAAAGTGTAGGAAGTCGGACCACATAGGCTTAGCCTGAGTTTGGGGAATGTGACAAGAGGCCCCAAAGTATATTACCTGAGCTGACCTGACTCCGTGTGTTGTTCAGGATGTAGATGTCAGGAGCCACGCAGAAGTCACTGGTGCCCTGAGTCATGGAGACAGGAGTGGGTAGAGGAAGGTCAGAGAGACCCTCAGGCACCAGGAGGAGTGAGCCTAGCTCCTGCCGCCCTGGTCATTTTGATTTTGATCTCTAACTCAATCCAGAGCAGAAGAGAGGCTGGGAGCCAGATTACTGGGTTTGAGCCCTGGCTCTGTCCTTTCCTGCCTGTTACCTTGGACAAGTGACTTATTCTTTTTGTGCCTGAGTAGTCTCATCTATGGTATAGACACAATGACACCTCACATAGGACTATTAATCCAGAGGCAGCTGCAAGTGTGAGTCTGGGTGGTCTTCCTTTGCTCTCGGGCTTAAAGCTTTTCCCCACTGTATTCTTGCCATTGCCGAGCTCTGCACACTCTGGGGGGTCAACCTATGGAAGGTCGCTTTTTAAACAAAACAACAGGACCTAACTATGTAGCTCTGGCTGTCCTGGAGTTCACTATGTAGATCAGGATGGCCTCGAACTCATGGAGATCTGCTTGCCGTCTGCCTTCTGAGTGCTGGGATTAAAGGCCTACATTCTTATGCCTGGCTCTGGCTTGCCATCTGAAGGGAAAGACTAGGAGAAAGCTCATCCTGGGGCCCTTGGGGCTGTGTTTCCGTAGGGAGTCAGTGGAATAGGACTGGAGCTGGAGCATGGCCTGGCTAAGTGACCTCTATGGTCAGGAGTGGCAGCAGAGGAGTGTTCTGAGCCCGCCCAGCATCGGTATGGGCTGCAATGGAGAACTGGAGGAAAGAGGCACTCCATCTTCCAGAGCAAGCAGGGCAAACTCCACGCCCCATACAAGGAGGCACCCACTTCTCTGATGCATGATCCCTGAGCATGGAGCTCCTTCGGGTGGTTCTGAAACACAAGAGGTACTCTGTCCACATGCAGCATCATCCCTCACCCACTGAATCAATAGGCACTTACTAGATACAGGCATGGTTCTGGGACTGAGGACTGGTACTTGCCAGGGCCATGTGTATTTGTACTCTACTGAGAGTAGAGTGTGTGTATTTGTGTGTGTGTGTGTGTGTGTGTGTGTGTGTGTGTGTGTGTGACATTGGAGAGCAATAGGCTCCTCTATATTCAAAAGTTCTCCAGAGTACCCCAACACAAACACCGCCACCCTCCCCCTGATATACGCGGTCACCCACATGCACTTAGGACCTCGGAGAATGGTTTCGTATACAAACCACCATCATACATAATAAATCACCGAGCCTATTATTATCAGTTAGAGCTGCAGCGCTAGCAGGCTGGGTAGTGCACCCTCACCCTTTGGCAGGAATAGCAGAGATGGGGAGACAGGCTGGGGTGGCTTGGTAAGTGGAGGAAGGCCACTGTCTTTGAGCCACACGTGTCTCAAGAAGATTAGGATCCAAAGAGGGGGAGCTAGGGACCCCTTTATGAGGCATCACCAATGCTGAGGCTTCTCTTTCATCTCCAATTAGGCCGGGCCTGGGAAAGCGGGTTACGAGACCATGGGGTAGTACATGGCTTATTGTGAGATGCCAGATCTACCAATGAAGGTGATATATGCATGTGTGTGCACATGCATACATGTGAGCATGCATGTCTGTGTCCATACATGATTCATTCAATGGCACATAGAATGGAGGGCATGAAGGAATAGGGTGACAGGAAGTGGGCAGCTAGACATTTGGGAGAAGCTGCCATTGGCTAGCCCAGCTGATGGTTGAGCCTGCAGGAACTTACCCAAGTACCTGAAGGGGTCATTCCTGTGACCCTCACATGCTGAGAACTGTGTTAGAAGCCAAGATGGCTACTACACACCGAACGGTCCCTGTGTGCCATCTGAGGCACCGGGTGCTATTCTCCTGTTTTACACAGGCATCTCCTGTTACTTCAGTAACTTTCCAGAGGTTCTGCTGCTGGGAAGGGATGATGCGGCTAAGGCTGGGGGCTCCAGCAGCTATGGTCCTGCCGCCCCTCAGGCCTGCATGCTCTGGGAGTCTTCTGTCACCTTTGCTGCGGCCAAAGCACCCATGGTGACTCCTTACCAACTCTTGCTCTCTTCCTTCTAGGCACTGCTTCTCCTCTGCCCATAGAGCCCCCGGCACTTTGTAGCTCAATGCCGACTACGTAGGGGTGGCCAGCAGGCCCAGCAGTGGGGGCCTAGGGCCACGGGTCTGGATGATCTGAGCTTGGCTTCCCAGGCTCCACTTCCACTCAGCGAGCCCTGGAACAACTGTCTCAGTGTCCATACTCTGTCCTGTGGATGTCCTGCCTGGTGAGCAGGTTGGGGAAAGGGTGATGGTGTGACTCTGCCCCCCTCCCCTAAATAGGCCTCAGAGAGCAGGGCGGAGGAACACAAAAGCTCTGCACAATGACCCCTTGACAGCTGGTGCCCTCCCCCTCCCCCCTGCCTCCCCGAGACACACGCACACCCCTCCTCCTTACCCCCTTCCCTATTAAAATGCCACAGCAGCATCAGCTCTGTCAAAGACCCATTCAGTGCCCTCACACCCGCCTCTCCTGCACAAGGGCTGGACTAAAGAGATTAGGGAAATGGCATGGCTCCCAGCTCCCTGGCGTTCCATGGCACCGGGCTGCAGATAATGCGGGCCTGCCTGCGGGTTCCTTGAACGGGCAAGATGCTTGATGGGAGAAGTCCCTGCTGGGAGGGAGCCAGCTCCCAAGGGCAGCTCACGGTGGCAAGCTGGATGCTATTGCTTCTTCAAAAGGCAGAGGCTGCCAGAAAAGGGACCCAGCCCCATAGGCTCAGGAGGGAAAGCTTCCCTACACCCACACTTGCATCTGGAGCAGAGGCTGCCAGCCAGGCAGCTGTGCTCATCACTCTGGGCAGTGGAGCCCCTCCCCACAGTTTACAACCTCCTGGCTCCACAGGCCACCAGGGTGCCGTGAGCACAGCCTGGGCTCCAGTGCTGGCCTCTCGCATGGTTGCAACACAGAAAGGGGAGATGAGAAATACCCACTTCCTTTCAGTTTTGTTGGTTCTGAGGCAGGATTTCATGTACCGCAAACTGCTCTGAAACTTACAAATCCCAGCCTTTAACCCCTCGAGTGCTGGGATAACAAATGGGCACTATCACGGCCCAGGGCGTGATCTGTGTAGGCAAGCACCTTACCAACTGAGTGTCCCCAGGCCTCTCTATCCCCTGCTATAATACTAGAGCTCAAACCTACAGCTTTTTAGTAGCCAAGTGTTCTGCCACGGAGCTGTTTCCAGTCCCACCCTCACCCCTTAAATTTATTTTATGTGTATGAGTAGTGTGTGTGTGTGTGTGTGTGCATATATGTGTGTGCATGTGTATGTGTGTGTACATGTTTGTGTGTGCATGTGTGGGTGTGTATGTGTGTGTGTATGCATTCACAAGTGTGCCGTGTGTGTTCTGATCAGAAGTCAGAAAAGGGCATCGAATTCTCTGGAATTGGAGTTTATGGATGGTTGCAAGCTACCACGGGTGCTAGGAATAGAACCTGGGTCCTCTGCAAGGGCAGCGGACAGGTGCTTTTAGCTGTTGAGCCATCTCTCCAGCCCCACAGCCTCCCTCACCCTTTAGAAGACCTGCCTTACTAAGTCACTCAGGCTGCACTTCAATTAATTTTGTAGCTCACACAGGCCTTTAATTTGCAAGCCTACTCTCCAGAGTAACTGATGACTACCAGAATTGGCTCCGTCTCCAGAGTAGCTGGGGCCATAGACTTGTGTCACCAGAACTGGCTCCTCAGCACTTCTGAATAAGCCTCTATCAAGAGTGGCAGAGCCAGGTGGCACCAGGGACCATTTATCCTGTGGATATGACAGACAAAGTGCCCAAGACCAGAGTTCCCAGCCAGTTCCAGGGACAGACACCAGGCAAGGTAAGGCAGAGCAAGAACAAACCACGGGGATGGCTTAGAGCCCTCAAATCAGAGTGATTCCCTAAAATCTCCTAGTGAAGTGTGTCTTCCCCTGCATGTGTGCAGTTCTTGTGCATGCATGTTCACACGGGCATGCAGCAACACACACACATAGAGCGAGCACCTATAACTAGTGATTCACACCACCACGTCATGATGCTCTGCCTACAAGTTGTCTTCCACTAAGTGACTGTCAACAGGGAGCATCATCCCCCCATCCCCCGAGTTTGCAACCCAAGGCACACAGCACCCCCACCTGCCGAGTGAACACGTGCTCAGACAGCTCAGCTCTGAGATCAATGACTTAAAAATATACTCATATAGGAAGCCCCTCGCGTGTGAGCGTAAGGGTCGAGGGGACAGAAGGTAGGAGACGCCACCTTCTGCGTAGGCACCTGATATCTGGAGGAAGGTAAAGGGACCCAGGCAGCCTTCACCAGGTTAGCTCATCACACTCACACAGAAGCTCCCAGGTTAGCTCATCACACTCACACAGAAGCTCCCTGTCCACCCACGCGTTCTCTGCACGCCCCAACAAGCAGTGTGTCTTGTCTTGGCTCTGTCCCCGAAGCCGGATAAACCCCTTCCTGTCTCTGAGCCAGGCCAAAGTGATCCAAGCTTCTAAGACTCTGAGATGGGAAGTAAGGGACCGTGCCTGTCTGGGGCCTTTGAACGGGACGGGACAGGACAGCCATCCACAATCCCCTCCACTTACCACTGCTGCAGCGGTGTCAGCAGCCAGAGAAGCCCAGCTGAGGATCAGGGTCAGTACCCCACAGCACAGCATGCTAGGAGAGAGGCAGACACGCTGGGACCTCAGAAGGGTGGAGGGGGTGTCTCCTGGACAGTAGTTATCCTACTCGAATTCAGCATCCTTCCTCCCAGGCATTGGCCCCCACCCCCACCCCATCTCCACCATGCATTGACCCCACCCCTCCGCTCCCACTAACGGCTAGGAGAGGGCTGTAGATCCCAGTGCCCTGGTTGAAGAGACCCAGCTGGGACAGCACAGAGACAGCTGGAGTGTGGGGCATGTGACACACAGGGACATCCTAGCTACTACCACTCTCAGGGCCTGGCTAGGCCCTCATCTCCCTCTATAGTTGGCCTCTAATCCAACGCTTTGCTTCAGGACCATACGCAGGGCTACTCACGAGGCTAGGAGACCCTTGGAGCGCCTGGCCAGTCCCAGGCAAGTGACGAGGCAGATGACCAGGTCCAGGATGAAAAGAAGGAGGTAGGACAGCCACCTGGGTGGAGGCAAAGAGACAGATCAGAACCCGCTCCCCCCCCCAATACCTGCTGCCCCTGGGAGGCCAGAACAGCAGCTCAGGCCAGCCGGGGTTCTCAGGGGCTCAAGGAGTTGCACCCCAAACTCTCCTGCCCCTTGCCTTAATCATCTGGTAGAATACCTAGACCAGTACTGGGCACTAGAACTTTCCATCATGGTGGAAACGGTCTACATCATACTGTCCACTCTATCTGCCACTACTCACTGATGCCTGCTAAGAACCTTAAAAAAAATGCCTAAGGACCAGAGATGTGAATTTATGCAATAGAAAAAGAAGCCAAGTGTAGTGGCAGACACCTGGAATCTCAGCTCTTGTGAGTTCCAGGCTAGCCTGGGCTACAGAGTAAACTTAGCCTGTTCCCACAAAGGACATGAATGTCATAATTTACTTAATATTACTATTTTTTTTTAATGATGCCAGGGAGCAAGTCCAGGGTCTTATACATGCTAACAAGAGTTCTACCTCTGAGCTACACCCCAGTTCACCGGCCAAATTTTTAATCCACTTTGACATACATAGTGGATTACATAGCTCTGTCTCTGCAGCTTCCACCCCACAATCAGGCAGCTCCTGTCTGCTTTGCTCCGTTTCTAGAACCCTCAGAGAGCAGACCTGGTAAGGCCTGACGTTACAGTCACAGATCTGAGAGAGCTCGAGAGGCCCCTCCCTTGGTGAAAGCCTGCCTGTCTTGTCCACGGCATGTGTAGCCTGTGTGGTTTATACAGGGTGGCAGGCAGAGGTTTTTCCAATCGACATTTGTGCCTGGCACTGAGCTTGGAGTCATGACACCTGTGTGAAAGGGCTTGCTCCTGACTATCAGGGAGTTCAGATGGCGCTAGGGTCATCCTTGCTAACCTCTGGACTCCCTGCTGAGCTTCCAGAGAACGGTTGTCCTGTACCAGCTAGACACCGTGGCATGCTACTTTCCTTGAATTTTTTTTTTTTTTTTATTTTCAATCTTTAAAAGAGAGGGTTTCGTGTATTCCAGGGTGGCTTCAAACTGGGTATGTAGCCAAGGATGACCTTTAACACAATTCTCCTACCATCACTATCTAAGTGCTGGGATCACATTTATGTGGTGCCGGGGTTGGACCTCAGAATGTGAGTAGAGGCTCTGAGGAAGATGGAGCAAGCTGGAGGTCCCCAGAAGCCGAATAAGATTCTGTCCTTGGGGATACAGGTTTGATGCTTAAAGAAGATGCTTAATTGAAACTCTGGGCCCCCAAACAGAGCAGCAGGTACCCACCCCATGGCAGGTCTCTGGGGTCCTAGAAATGGGGCTTTGGGACATGAATAGAGCTGGCCTGCCACTTGCTGAAGGCCACTAAGGAGCCAGTTTTCTTAAGTCAGAGTTGAAAGAAACTTTGGGATCCATCTAGTGTCCTCATCCTATGTTACAGATTAGAAGGTAGATGGAGACTCAGGGTGGCTACTAAAGATGGGTTGTTCCTTCCGTCTCCTCTCCCATCTGCAGCGACTCCAGATGCAGAGAGGCTCCTGACCCATCCACAGCAGTGCTTTCCTAACTCCTGCCTGTGGAAGCTGTTCCTAGAAACAGCTCGGGGCGGATGTGTTCTCCCAGAGGAGCCCCTGGGAACTAGGGGAGAGAGTTCTCACCACGAACTTGGCTCTTGCCTGATGAATTAATGGTGTTGGCTTTCACCCCTCACCCCACCACATCCGGGCATCTGTTAGCCAGCATCCACATCTCAGCCCCAGGCAGTAACAGCCTGTTATCCCCTCCAATCTGGAGCTGGAACATGTCTCCCCAGTAAAGTGCTCCGATGGGGGTGGATGGCCAGCGTAACAACTGTTGGAAAGCCTTTCTGGGGAGTGACCCTCAGCATTCGGGAGCTGCAGGGGCCTGCCTGAACTATCCTTGCTCCTTAGCCTGACCAGAGTAAGAAGCCTCTCTTGATATAGAAAACCTTTTCCCATTTCATCAAGGCATTTGCTAAAATGTTCACAGGACCAGCCAGATGCGCTCAAGGGAAAGAGCCAAGGTCAATAAGGATACCTTCTATGGCTATTCCAGTTCAGAGTTGGCAGCTCCTCTCAGGCCCCGGGGAAGGAAGGCATTTTGCCCATGTCTCAGAGGAGTAACCCCAAGGGCCTGTTCATCTATAATGACTCTGCCACCAAGGAAATTCAAAGTCTGTGGGGAGGGAGATGGCAGCACCTCCTGGAACCCAGAGTCCCACATGGAGCTGGGGACTTGGGTGAGCGCTTCCCTTTGGGAAAGGGAGTCTGACTTGGGAGGCCTTGAGCATTTTCTCTGGACTCAGGCCCTGAGCAGCAGCCTCCTGGGTGGGGCTTTATGATATAATAGGATACAAATCCAGAAAGCCAAAAAGTATATTGTGCAATGTTGAGGCAGAGGCTCTGATCTTCGTCAATGGCTTGGAGAGGTGCCAAGTCATTTGGGTGAGGGAGGGATTCAAAGAGCTGACACTTGTCATGCAAGACCCACACATCTGTCCCACCCTGTGTCTATGATACTGGACTTCTGACCCTTTGAGCACAATGACGTGCGTGTCACACACGATGCACGCACATTACATGAGTGCATGCTACCATGAAGGTCAACTTAGGACAGAGACAGCTGTCTCCTTTCTTGGCTCTCAACATTGACTCTTTGAGGCCCTGTATTCGGAAGGAGGGCAGCCAGTCTGAGGCCTAGGGCCTGAGTTTAGTGACTATCATCAGGGATGGGGTTACAGAGGGACATAAACAGATGCTGGATGAGGCAGAGATGAGTTTGGGACCTAAGTGATTCGCTGTGGTCATTAAACCTGACTGTCAAGTTGATGGGACCGAGACTCAACCAGGAGGCAAATCTCTAGTCATGTCTGAGAAAGATTAAAAAAAAAAAAAAAAAAAAAACTCTGTGTGTGTATGTATGCATGTCACAATACATAGGTAGATCAGAAGACAACTTGCAGAAGTTAATTTTCTCTTTCCATCATGTGGGGTTCGGGAATTGAACTCAGGTTGTCACACTTGGTGCCGCAGGCCTTTACCACACTCTCAAACTGTGAGCCAAAATACACTTCCCTCCCTCCTTCCCTCTTCCCTACCTCCCTCCCAATCTCCCTCCCTCCTCCCTCCCTCCCTTCCTGCTCTCTCCCTCCCTCCCTGCCTCCTTCCTCCCTCCCTCCTCCCTGCCTCCTTCCTCCCTCCCTCCTCCCTCCCTTCCTGCTCTCTCCCTCCCTTCCTCCTCCCTCCCTCCCTCCCTCCCTTCCTCCTCCCTCCTCCCTTCCTTCTCCCTCCCTCCCTCCTCCCTCTCTCCCTCCCTCCCTCCCTTCCTGCTCTCTCCCTCCCTCCTCCCTCCCTCCCTCCCTCCCTCTCTCCCTCCCTCCTCCCTCCCTCCCTTCCTCCTCCCTCCCTCCCTGCCTCCTTCCTCCCTCCCTCCTCCCTGCCTCCTTCCTCCCTCCCTCCTCCCTCCCTTCCTGCTCTCTCCCTCCCTTCCTCCTCCCTCCTCCCTCCCTCCCTGCCTCCTTCCTCCCTCCCTCCTCCCTTCCTTCTCCCTCCCTTCCTCCTCCCTCCTCCCTCCCTCCCTTCCTGCTCCCTCCCTCCCTCCTCCCTCCTCCCTCCTCCCTTCCTCCTCCCTCCTCCCTCCCTCCCTCCCTCCCTCCTCCCTCCTCCCTCCCGTTGTCTGTGTTATTTAGTCACAGCAATGAGTAAAGGGTATAACAGATGTGATGGGGTGAGGCGGCAAACCCCTTAGCATTGCACTGCTGAGGTGCTACCCAGTGAGTGGCCACCCCACTGCCTCCCCAGTCCCTCCCCAGTCCCTCCCCAGTCCCTCCCCAGTCCCTCCCCACTGCCTCCCCAGTCCCTCACCTGTAGTGTTCCACATAGACAGTCTGGTGGGACAGCTCAGTCAGCTGTGTGGTGACCTCCCTCCACACAGGCAGTCCCGAGAGCTGGTTGACGACGTTACCCGCCATCTGCTGCATGAACTTGAGGGTCTGGATGTAGTCTCCCCGAGCAGCAAAGATCTCACTGAGCCGAGCCAGGTGCTGCTCTAGGTCCACTTTCATCTTCTGGGTGTTTCCAGACACCTGGGGGAGGTAAGGAAGGGGCTAGGAGTTGCCCAGGCATAGCCACTGAGAAAATCTCTGCAGGAGGAAGTAGCAATTGACCAGCTAGCTGGGCTTGAAGGGCGGCTCCACACTGACAGACCCTGGGAGCTCATGAGACTGCTGTCCCTGGGGAGTGACCAAGGGCAGAGGTCCTGTGCCTACTGCCATCATGTGAGTCTGGAATGTCCCCCAAAGATCTGTGCTAAAGGCGTGGACACAAATTTGGTGATCCTGGGAAGTAGCAGAATGTTTCATAGGAGGTGGTTAGATCTGTGACAGGACTTAAGGTCCCTCAAAAAAGACACTGGAGGGGGCTGGAGAGATGGCTTAGTGGTCAACAGCACTGACTGTTCTTCCAGAGGACCCAGGTTCGATTCCCAGCACCCACATGGCAGCTGACAACTGTCTGTAACTCCAAGATCAGACAAACATGCAAGAATTCTTTCTTTCTTTGCTTCTGTACACACTGAAGTGAGCAGCTCTGCTCATCCTGTAGGTTCACCATGGCCTCTCAGATCAAAGGCTCCAAAGTAATGTGACAACCAGCATAGCTGAACCCTTCCCAGCTGCACCAAAACAAGCCTTTTTCTTTCCCTTTCCTCCCTTTTCTTTCATTTAAAAACCTTTATTTTTGAGACAGGCTGGACTCCAACTTGCTATGAAGTTGAGAATGACCTTGGTCCCTTCTGATCCTCCTGCCTCCCTGGTGCTGGGACTACAGGTATCCAGACCTTTTTTCTTCATAAATTTGGTGATCTCAGTGATTTGTTATAGTGCTGGAAGACTGGCCCATAGACACAGAGCCAGGTCATTTCTGGCTCTGTTATTCTAGCTTTCCCTGGGCCTTGGCTCTCCAATCCAAGCCTTGCTGCATCCTGAGCTTCTCTAGCCTGAAAACCCACATCTTAACACTCTAGCAGCAAACGCTATACAAATAACTCCAAATATAAACCCCCAAACTCCGAAATCCCAAACACCTCAGGCCTCCTGAATTTCAGAGAGGCGGGGCACAACCTGGACTCCAAACAGGAAACCAAAATAATTCCTAGTTCTTCTATGAACATTCCCCTAAAGTGTGAGTCACTTGGGATTTGAAATCAAAGACTCAGAGTCCCAGGCTGCCACCTTGTGCTTTGGTCCAACAGGGTTCCCAGGCACCCTACTAGAGAAGGGGTTTGTCTCTGAGCTAGAATCAGCATGTAGTGTCCCAACCACAAAGCAAGGCAGAACAATGGGGCCTTGAAAACAGAGAACAGATGCTGTCTCCTCCCAGCCTGGCCCTGGGACAGGAGGAAGAAGTCAGTGTCTTTTCTTGGGCTCATGTCCCTCCAAGTCCCCAGTATGTCTGTCCTGCCCACCTGTCCTTTGCTTTGGCCGTAAATGACTCCAGAAGAACATCTGTCTACGCAGACTTAAGTGAAAGGGTGACGGCAGGGTCTGTCCTTGCCAGCTCCTAACCAAGGCGCAAGGTGCAGCTTATATTGCAAATGTCATACTCTGGGGACCAGTAGGCTTGGGGACAGCTCCACAGCCATTTAAGCAGAGCCAGCATGTTGGTAGCTGAATTAGGAAGCGCTTTGCTTCTGTTGTGTTTTCAGGCAGGGTCTCCATAATTGCCCAGGCTAGCCTGGAACTGGCTATGTAGTCTAGGTGGACCTGGAATTTGAGATCCTCCTGCCCCAACTTCTGGAATAGCTGGGATGTTAGGACTATGCTGCCAGGGTCTGGTTTGCTGCCTTGACACTGTCGTGCAGTTGAAGGAGGGCAGGGTGCCGGGTTAAGCCTTACCCAGCAGTCTTGGCTCCCACAGTCTGCAGGATAAAGGCACAGCAGAGGGGCAGAGGACCGTGCAGCAATGGAGCCCAGGAGAGCACTCTGATCTTGGGGAATCATGGGAACTTGACATCACCCTTGTGGTTTTTCGTGTCTTCCCTACACTGTGATTTCCTGATTCTAGATGAGAATGGCTTTCTGTGTCAGCACCACCATGGTGCAGGCCTGTGGAAACCTAGTACTTGGGAGGCTGAGGCAGGAGGATTGCCTTGAAGTCAAGGCCAGACTGCACTATACACAATCTCTTATCTCAAAAAAAAAAAAAAAAAAAAAGACAAAACAAAATGTTAAACTTTGTCTGGGACTTTTTCAAGCTCTCTACCCCTCACTTGTGTGTGTGTGTGTGTGTGTGTGTGTGTGTGTGTGTGTGTGTGTGTGTGTGTATGTGTATGTGTGTGAGACCCTCCTGCTTCAGCCCCAAGTCCTGGGATTATAGGCCTGTGCCACCAAGCCTGGCATTTCAGTTTTTACTGTCTTAAGGTCAAGGTGACTTTAAGAATAGACAAGTCAAGGTTGGACACGCAGCTCAGCTGGTAGAGTGCTTGCTTCGGATGCTGGAGGGCCTGATTTTCATTTGAAGCACCCAACAAATTGGGTGTGGTATTGAACACTATAATCTCAGCACTCAGGAGACAGAGGCAGAATGAGCTTAAGATCGTCCTTGTCTACATGGAGAGTTCTAAGCCAGCCTGAACTATCAGTGACTCTGACTCAAACAAACAAAAATCCAAGAAGAAAAAGAAAAGTTAAAAGTTTAGAGAAGAGCCAGGTGTGGTGACACATGCCCGGTCTACACAGCAAGTTCCAGGACAGCCAGAGCTCTGTAGAGAGACCCTGTATTTAAAAAAAACCAACCAAACAGCTGTCGGTGGTGGCGCACACCTTTAGTCTCAGCACCCAGGAGGCAGAGGCAGGAGGATATCTGTGAGTTGGAGGCCAGCCTGGTCTACAGAGTTCCAGGACAGGCTCCAAAGCCACACAGAGAAACCCTGTCTTGAAAAACCAAAACCAAACCAAAACAAAACAAAACTCCAAATAAAACAACTACAATTATAGAATAGGCCAAGATTGGTGTCCAAGGCCTGTAATCTAATTGGTTAGAAGGTTGAGGTAGGAGAATCAGTAGTTCTAGGATACAGAACCTTGCAGAAGGGAAAGAAAAGAAAGAAAACCACAACTCAATAAACATCTGTCAAGTCCATTTTTCCTTCTGGTACTGTTTCATGGGAAGAGAAGCTAGACTGACTAGATAGATGATAGATAGAGATAGATAGATAGATAGATAGATAGATAGATAGATAGATAGATAGATAGATAGAGATAGATAGATAGCTGACAGGTAGATAGTTGACAGATGATAGATGACAGACAGATGATTGATAAATAGATGACAGATAGACAGATAGATAGATGGTAGATGAGAGATAGATGGATAGATAGATGACAGAGATAGAAGATAGATGACAGATGAGACAGACAGATAGAGAGATAGAAAGATAGATAGATGACAGATAGATGATGGTGTCACAACAGTGGCCTCCTTGAAGCTTTGTGCTTGCTCAAATGGTTCCCAGTCCTCGAGGTTCAAGAAGACAGAGGTGTGATGTCCCCGAGATGGACTGTAGCTTTCTCTTAGTAACTGAGGATGAAGGGGACAGCTCAACTCTTCACCATATGGGGACCAGGACCAGATAGGTCACTGTTTCAAAGGACAGGGGTGTGGTTTTCAAATTGTGACCCCAGGCCAGCATCATCACTCAGGAGCTCATTACAAATGCAAATTTTCACCCTGTCTGGAAGGTGAATTGGAGCCCCAGCAGGGTGGAGCTTGCTGCCACCCCCCCACCCCCCCCCCCCCCCCCGCAAGCTCTGGAAGAGATTCTGAAGCAAGCACCAGGTTGAGGGAGGAAGAGAGGGAGGGAGGGTGAGAGAGAGAGAGAGAGAGAGAGAGAAAGAGAGAGAGAGAGAAAGAGAGAGCGCACATAAGCGCTAGGTCAGGTATGGAGTGGTTGGGAGGAACACCATCTCAGATAAGTAAGTAGGGGGAGGGGAAGAACATAGGGCGAAGACCTGGGGTCTGGACTCTGTGTTCTTGCTGTGAGATCACTGGTTTTCAGCTGTGGGGTGATGCCACCTATCTGTGCCTCAGTTTCTCCACTGAGCGGTTTCCCATAGGCTTATGGGTTCAGGATGGTGGGGGTTTCTAGTCAAGAGAAGGGAATGCAGAGGGTCCCTGGCCTTTGTGTTTGGGGACAGCCCTAAAAGGACCTCTAGTTGACCATTTGGTTGCTAGATCTGGGCTCTGGCAGCCCAGCTTCATGTCATCTGGGCTGGGGTGAGTCTCCATCTTGACTCTGCCACCCACAGCCTCCCAGCACCTACCCCTACTTCATGGTAATTGCAGTAATTATCATAATGACGCCATTACCTTAATCCCCCAGGGAGGGTGCACTCTATAGTTTACTTTCCTTGGTGGTAATTCTTCTGATGCCACTTAGCCATTTACCTGCAATTTGGACCCCACCCCTTAGGAGAAGGGGAAGGCCCTACAAGGATCTACCATCTCCCGGGAGCCCTCAGGCCAGGCACTGCGGGGCGCCCACCTTGAGGCCTTCACAAACCCCTTAGGTAAGAGGGATAGAAACTTTTCATAGTTGGCATCACAAATCCCCAGGCCAGCTGTCCCACATTGCCCTGACAGCCGCAGGGTAAGCGGCTATCTCTGGGGACGGGGTGAAGGAAGGTTCAAAGCATTCAAGCCTGGCTCAGGAGAGTTGGGAGCCCTAGGGCTTGTTCCCAGACATCAGCAAGCTTCTCCCACCAGATAAAGACCACATTTTCCCCTCAGGGAAGGTCACAGCTCTGGGGCGTTCTGGCACTCAGGCTTCTCCCTCTTTCAAGGTCACTGATGGCTCTTAGCGGGAGACAGTACACTGCCAAGGACAGGCAGAAGGTGTCCTTGGGGGCTTGCTTGATCCTCATCAGTACCGAGGTAAGAGTGGGTGAGTTCCCAGGGGTCACCTCCCACAAATACTGGGCAGTGCACATCTCAAGCAACACACAGCCTGTCTCTTTAAGGTGAAATTTTCTGTCCCTGCCCCTCCCCCACCCCTGGGGGGGTGATGGAAGGATTAGAACTGCAGAGTTTAAAGATGCTTGCAGGGAGGGGGCAGACGAGGTTGAGTCCTCCCTAGGAGGTTGCCAGGGGAGTGAGTGATTCTTCTAGTTAGGGCTGGGTTTGGTGGTGGAGGGCTGCAGACACAGATGTGCCTTTCTTGGGGACTTTCGATATTCCAGGGGGATCAGGTCTAGAGCAGGTCAGGTGCCCAAGGACTAGGGAGAGAGTCCTAGGGAGACATCACATGGAATCACCTAGAAAATCAGCAGGAAAGGCGGGCACTCTGCAAAAGTGACAGGCCGGCAGGGACCAGGGTGAAAGAGGAAATCTAGCTCCTGACTCCTGCTCCAACACTCAGGCTCAGCCCCTTAGCTTTTCCTCCAAGCAACCTAACTTCTTAGTCCAGCTCAGTCTCCACCGTGAGCTTCCGGCAAGAATGTTGCTGAACCCACAGCCCAGAGCCCAGAGGACTCTTCCCAATTCGTGTGTGTGTGTGTGTGTGTGTGTGTGTGTGTGTGTGTGTGTGTAAGTAGGGGGCACGGTGGATGGTCTTCCATTGTTACTGGAGACTTTCTCCACTTACAGGGGCAGGGTGTGTGCCACCATTCTAGATTCCCAGTTTCCCCTTTTGATGGATGGATCAGAACTTTGTACAAAGTACTTAGAGCTAACATTTGAAAATCCACATTCAGGACTGAGGATGTAGCTCTATTGGTAGAGAGTTTGCCTATCACGTATGAAGCCTGGGGTGCCCACATGGCACCCACCATGCATGGTGCTCAAATACCAGCCAGTCCACTGAGACTACAGGGTCTGATGGATGTTAGACTCCATCTCAAAGAAACAAACAAGCGATGCTCAGTAGGTTATGGTAGCCCTAGCACTGGGTACGCAGAGGCAAGAAGGTCACAGAAAATTCCAGATGAGTGTGGTCTATGAAGTGGGTTCTAGGATAATCAGGGCTACATAGTGAGACCCTCTTGCTTTAAAAACAATAAAACGACTCCAGAAACCCACGTTCAAGGTCTCCTTCAGGGTACAGGCCGTACTCAGATGTTCTGCAGACTTACTGGGGGCTGAGGGGGTAGAGCTGCTCTGAAATCTCTCTAGGCCTGAGTGGTAGAGACGGTTCGCCTTTGGCAGGGCAACTGCTCAGATGGCAGCCCAGCCCACAGCATCGATCACACAGCTCTGAAGGGTGCAGCTGGCCTCCTGAGATCTGACTGGCACCCTTGTTCTGGCCTTGCTGAGCTCATGGGCTATGCCTGTGCCCAGCCACACCCCCCGCCCCACATCCCCAATCCTTACCAGATCGTCAATTCCAGAGAAGGTGTGGTTCGCGTTGTCCAGGGAGTAGATCAGCTGGTACACCCCATCGTTGGTCTCACTGTTTCCATAGAAACCGACACCCACTGCAGCACTGCCGGCAGACCCCCCCACACAACAAAGGTCAGGGGTGATGTACCCAGAAGAGAATACGCTTATCTCTGTGTGCACAGGTGTGCGCATGTGCACCAGGAGGCCAGAAGAGGGTGCTGGGAGCCTTCCCCCATTGCTTTCTGTGTTATTCCCTTGGGACAAAGTCTCGCACTGAACCTGGTGTTCACTGAATGACTGTGGCAGCAAGTGCGCTGTCTCTGGTCCCCACGCCTGGGACTGGGTTTGCAGATGTGTGAGCTTTCTATGTGGGTGCTGGGAACCCAAACTCAGGTAGGTCGTTGTGTTTGTACCCCTATCTGTCTGTGTCCTTGTACTGAGGATTGAACCTGGGGCCTCAGGCATGCTAAGCAAACAATCTACTATCGAGGTGCGGTCCCAGTCCTTGCGTTTATCTTTTTTCTACAGCCCTCTGTGGTGGCACACGCCTATAATCGGGAGGCAAAGGCAGGAGGATTTCTGTGAGTGTGGGGTCAACCTGGTCTATGTAATGAGTTCTAGGGCAGCCAGGGCTGTTACACAGAGAAACCCTGTCTTGGAAAACAAAAACAAACAAAACACACGCAAAATTGTTTTTAAGGCTGCAGAGATGGCTCAGTGGCTAAGAACACTGGCTGCTTGTCCAGGGGACCCCGGTTCAGTTCTCAGCGCCCGCACGGCAGTTCACAATCATCTATAACTCTGTAAGTTATGTAAGTTATAGCTCCATAACATCTACAAGCTCCAGGGGGGTCTAACACCCTCTTCTGGTCTCCATAAGCACTGTATGCACATAGTGCCCAGACACACGTGCAGGAAACCATCCATACACATAAAATAAATCTAAAGAAAAAAAATTTAGAGCAGTTGCAAGTCCACAGCAGGTGCAGGATTCCTCTATTCGTGTACAGTCCCCCATTTGACACCCTTTATGAAGTGATGCCCTTGCTACGAATGATCGATCACCCAGTGGGAACATGGGTACCATCCAAGGCCCACAGCGTGCACGGGGGTCACTCTAGGTTGAAATGCTACAGGTCTAGATACAGTGTCAGGAATTTACTATCAGCGAGGCCCCTATTCCCTGCTCCCTTCTGTCCCACAACTGGAGTCACAGCATGCGGCCTCTTCCGATGGTTCCTTTGCCTTAGTGACAGGCATTGGAGGTCCCCAGTGTCTTTCATGGCTCAGCGGGACATTTATTTTCGGCTCTGCATAATATCCCATTGTCCACGTGTGTCCAAGTGTATTTATTCACTCAGCTACTGAAAGATATCTTTGACTTGGTTCCAGGTGCGGGGAGCTGTGAATAAAAGCCACCGCAAGCAGTCATAATGTGGGCTCAACTTTAGCTGAGAAGCTTTACTCTTCTGAGGGTTTGGGATGAGGGGCTATTGTCTGAGGGTGACCGTTAAGGACCACCAACGTGACCTGGCCTGCTTGTCCTGGCTGGCAACATACTTCTAAAAGGCACAAAACTTCAAGCAAGTCTGGGGGGGGGGTTATGATTCAGTGGCCCTGGTGGGGTCTTGAGATCTGATTTGACATGCTCAATGCCAACTTTCAGGTCCTTCCTGACATGGTCAAGAACCCTGGACTTCTCTATATATCCCTGATCTAGTCCTGTGCTATCAAGTTTTCGCTTCTGCCTGCCTTGTTAACCCAGAATCAGCTGGGTCCTGATTCATGTTCTGGAGTAGCTGGAACAAGTCTCTAGTTCTGCCACAAACTGTCCCTTTGTCACCTCTTGCCTTCTGCTCTCTGAGACAGACACATGAGACAGGGTCTCAAGTATTCCCCAGCAGGGCCTCACGCACCCTTATAGCCAAGGGTGACCTTGAACTCCTGATCCCCCTTCCCCCATGCCTGGTTTCCAATGTCACTCTTGAACCTGGACTCTGAGCAGAGTGTGGGAGCTGGTGTGTGTGTGTGTGTGTGTGCTTTCGTGTTCTATTCCACATTGGGCTGCCCTCCCGTCTTCAATGACCTTATTTTCTGTAACAGCCCCTCCCAGGATTCCTCCTCAGGAATTGTCAGGCTCAGTTTCTCTTTTTTCCTATGGAGTCTTATTGATTTTAACCAAAAGACAAACTTGAAATCCATCTGTATGAAGCTTCATGGTTGGCTTCGATCCAACATTCCAGCCTGAGTAAATCATTTGCAATCTTAACTCTGTCATCCATCATATTCTATGTGGTTCTCCCCTCCTGGGATCACAGGACCAATGAGGGAGCCTCCTGAGTTCTCACCCAAAACACTAACTCAGGGAAAGATAAGTACAAGCATGCATGCATACACACACACACACACACACACACACACACACACACACACACACACACACACAGAGAGAGAGAGAGAGAGTGATGCTTATTCTCCCTTCCTTGAGACAGCTGTAGCTTAGTTGCCTTGGAACTCACTTTGTAGATCAGGCTGGGCTAGAACTCAGAGATCTGCCTGCCTCCACCAGGGATTAAAGGTGTGTGCCACCATGCCTTGCTCCCATCGGTATTCTTTGCATTCAAGAAACGTGCTCTGCTCTGAGTAGGCTTTGCTTTGCTGCAACACAGCTCTGTCCATCTTTCTCTAGAGCATCGCTGGAGGTGTCAGGTTCATGTGCAAAACATTCACTCGTGAAAAGTATGCTTAAAAAAATAAATTAAAAAACAAAACAAAAAGGCAGAAGCAATGGCTGGATTTTTTTAATCGCTGGCATCCTCTTGCCTGGGAACCGGTTGTAGAATGTTGCATGGAAGGAACCCTGCCACAATAGCCTCTTCTGCTTTGAGCTTTTCTCTTCCATTTTATTCTATAAATGTGGGTGTTTTGCCGGGAGTATATGTCTAGGCGCCACGTGTGTGCCTGGTGCCTTCAGAGGCCAGAAGAAGGGGTTGGACCCCCTGGAACTCGTTACCTACAGCTGGTTATGAGCCACCATTTGGCTGCTGAGAAATGAACCTAGGTTCTCTAGAAGAGCAACAGTTGAGTCATCTTTTCGGCGCCTTGAGTTTTTCTTAAGTACTGAACACTTAAAGCCACTGCTGCGGAACACACATGGCCAAATTTCGATGGTTCTGCTTGGATGCTGGGTAGCCAGCATTAAATGCGCATTACTCTAATGGCATTTGTACCTCACAAAAGGCCTATCTGGCAATAGCCCTACTGGAAATGTAGGAGCACCTGCAGCTTTCTGCGGATCCAGGGGTCGCTGCATTGGAGCAAGCACAGCTGGCCTGTGTCTCTGGGTCCCTAACCACCGTGTGATACCCTACCCAGGTAGAGGGATTTTAGTACCCCAGTTCTTCATGGGTGCTCTGGTCTGCCCATTACGTCAGGACCTTCCCATCTGGGCTGGAACTCTTTCCTGCGGGCCTTGGCCCCAGCCACAAGTTTCATCTGTCCTCTGTCCTTGTTCCGCTGCTGAGGATGGCCTATCGTTGGCTTCAGTGAGCCCCACATTCCCACCCACACGAGATCATGAACACTTCACCACACTCCATCATGGCCAAAAGGCTAAGAAATAGTGAATGAACACATTATAATGGGAAAGGGCGGGACAGGGGGGGGTTAATGTGTTCAGGAGAAAGTTGACCCTCCTGCAGACTAGAACCTAGGACCAGTCCTTCTGACAAGCTGCAAGGGACTCTTACCTTAGAGGTCTCAAGGGGGTGCTATACCGTAAAAAATGTCCACGGATACAGAAACGAGGAAAACACACCAATTCCTGAATGGAGCTTGCACAAATCACGTGGGCTGGGTGCTAGGTGGGTGGGGTGGGCTCTCAGTGCTGGGAACCTTCATGCCTCAGTCAGTGCGGAGGAGAAGATCTACCTATGGGCATTAGAAGTTCCTGATCTGGGGTGGGGGGTGGGGAGCTGAGGAGATGGCTCAGTAGTTAAGAGCATTGACTGCTCTTCCAAAGGTCCTGAGTTCAAAATTCCCAGCAACCACATAGTGGCTCACAACCATCTATAATGAGGTCTGGTCCCTTTTCTGGCCTGCAGGCATACATGCAGTCAGAACACTGTATACATAATAAAAATGAGCTTAAAAAAAAAAAGTTCCATTGATCAGGAAACAATGGAACTGATTGGGGCTAACTTCTGATCCTGCAGACCCAGGATGGCAGATGGGGATGCAGAGAAAAGATGCCCACAGTCACCTGGTCAACTCAGGAAGGGACTCATGTGGCTGCCAGACCTGGTCCTGGTCTGTAGAAGGGTTGGGGGGGGGGGTCACTATCGCCACACTAGTGACTGGTTTCCCATTCTTGGCCTCAAAAGGGACAGTATTCCCATATGGACACGGCGGGGTGTGTGTGTGTGTGTGTGTGTCCTAGTCACAGGCTAGCTTTCCTGTGCCTGTGCCTGTTGAGTGCCCCCTTCCCACCTGGCCCCTTTCGAGCTGAGTTACATGGTTTGGCTGCGCACGGGACACTCACCAGCAGAGGAGCCCAGCCACCACGGCTGTCCAGGTGACGCAGCATGAGTTGGGCTGCTTGCTCTGTGCTGTGTGGTCCCGCCGGCAGCAGCATGTGCACACCAGGTAAATGGCAAGAAAGATGAGGTTCAGGCCCAGGCCAATGGCAGCTAACACCCCCAGGAAGAGCAGCGACTGTAAGAGGAGGGATTATGTCAGCTTATTGGTCCAGCAGGGGGCGAGGAGTCCTTCTGCCCAGTCCTCTAAATAAACAGCCTGTCCTACAGTTGGGAGCCAGGGTGGGGATGGCGGAAAAATGGACAGGGAGGACGGCTCAGGTTCAGCAGGACCCAGAGAGTGTTAGGTGACAAATCTCTGGACGTGTGTGAGGGAGTGTCTAGATTAAATTTTTTAAAAAAATAATTTATGTGCATTAGTGTTTTTCCATGGGAAGTTTTGGGTCCCCTGAAACTGGAGCCCTAACCCTAACCCTGAGCTGCCATGTGGGTGCTGGGAGTTGAACCTGGGTCCTCTGGAAGATCAGTCAATGCTCTTAACCACTGAGCTAATTCTCCAGCCCCTCGAGATTAGTTTAACAGAAGTGAGAAGATACATCAGAAGTGTGGGAAACACCATCCCATGGGCTGGAGTTCCAGACTGAACATAAGAGAAAGTGAGCAACAGCCTTCAGCTCCCTCTGCGCCCTGACTGCGGATGCCATGGGACCAATGGCTTCACGAGCTGCCAAGATGGATGCACCCTCACACTGTAAGGGTGGGGGACAGGAAGGGGGGGATGGACCTTCCTTCTTTAAGCTGCTTTTGTCAGGAATTTTGTCTTAGGAATGACAAAAATAACTAACACAGCTAAGCATGGCTAAGCCCAGGGTTCTGGATGAAGATACAATCCAGGCCAGGCTTGATGACAAGCCCTGAGCCATTTGGGAGAGCAAGGGTCAAACAGGGCTGTGCACAATGAGTGCTATGTCCACAAGGACCGGAAAGAGACACACTCTGCGTTGGACACCTTAGGTGCTAAGTGGAACTAAGCTAGGGACCCTAAGGACTGGTGTTGGCATACCTGGGCCCCACCAGAACGGAATGTGCCTATGCTAGGTGCTGGGTTATCCAGAGTCCTCAGAAGTCAGCCCTGTGCTCTGGGGTGGGTATAGGGGAGCCGGGGTAGATAATCTTTGGTGTCCTTCTTGCTGCACCCTGTCAGGGTCAGCTGACTCATATGCCAGTTGTAACAGTAAGGCCAGAACGTGGAGGAGGGCATGGGGATACCTCTTCAGTCCCCCCCCCAGCAGCTCAGGGTTCTCAAAGGGAGGAGGGCATGGGGATACCTCTTCAGTCCCCCCCCAGCAGCTCAGGGTTCTCAAAGGGAGGAGGGCATGGGGATACCTCTTCAGTCCCCCCCCCAGCAGCTCAGGGTTCTCAAAGGGAGGAGGGCATGGGGATACCTCTTCAGTCCCCCCCCCAGCAGCTCAGGGTTCTCAAAGGGAGGAGGGCATGGGGATACCTCTTCAGTCCCCCCCCCCAGCTCAGGGTTCTCAAAGGGAGGAGGGCATGGGGATACCTCTTCAGTCCCCCCCCCAGCAGCTCAGGGTTCTCAAAGGGAGGAGGGCATGGGGATACCTCTTCAGTCCCCCCCCCCAGCAGCTCAGGGTTCTCAAAGGGAGGAGGGCATGGGGATACCTCTTCAGTCCCCCCCCCCAGCAGCTCAGGGTTCTCAAAGGGAGGAGGGCATGGGGATACCTCTTCAGTCCCCCCCCAGCAGCTCAGGGTTCTCAAAGGGAGGAGGGCATGGGGATACCTCTTCAGTCCCCCCCCCAGCAGCTCAGGGTTCTCAAAGGGAGGAGGGCATGGGGATACCTCTTCAGTCCCCCCCCAGCAGCTCAGGGTTCTCAAAGGGAGGAGGGCATGGGGATACCTCTTCAGTCCCCCCCCAGCAGCTCAGGGTTCTCAAAGGGAGGAGGGCATGGGGATACCTCTTCAGTCCCCCCCCCCCAGCAGCTCAGGGTTCTCAAAGGGAGCTGTTGTCTGTCAGGAGGCCTAGGTGTCCCCCTCCACCGCATCTTCCAATCCCTTGATTTGGCCAGATGGACACCAGATGGCCCTGGGATCAGTGGCCGTCAGCCAGGGCTGGGCCTGGCTCTAAGTCAGGCTCCTGAACTGACAGCCTCCTGGCTTCCCATTCGGCCTCAGCCATGCCCTCATGCAGAGTGCCCACAGAACCCCAATGGGAGTTGCTCTTCCTAGGGCTTTTGTTAGGGAATCCGTGTGGGTGGTAGCAATCATCTGGACAGGAGACCGAGGGACACCAAAGTCTGAGGGCAAGCACCGGGAGGCCACCCGCAGCGCTGAGGCTGGTGGCTGCAGGCTGGGTAGACTGTATGGAGTGTGGTGACTGCTCAGCTGCCCATCCCTGTGAGGAATGCAGGCAGCTCATAGGACTTGTGCTAACTCTGGGTGTACAGGCTTCTCGGCCTTAGGGGCAGATCTGAAAGTGATGGCGTCAACGAGGAGGACAAATGAGATGTCTCAGTCACTTAGCATGTGACTTCTACTTCCACTCTGGCAAACGCTTGGAAGGGAACTCCTTCCTCCTCCAGCAGGTGGAAGGTGGGGCAGCAGCTCCCAGCACAGAATCCTCCATCCTACAGCCCCACCCAGAGGGACACACCTAGGCTTCCTGACAGACAACAGCTCCCCCTGAAAATCCTGAGCTGCGAGGTGGGCCTGAAGAGGCTGGAGGATCAGAAGCTCAATGCCATCTTCGGTTACACACTTGATTTGAGGCCGGTCTGGGCCACATGAGACCCTGTCTCAAAAACTCAACCACAGCAATGGTGGCATGGTTCAGAAGAAAATGGCCCCAATAGGTCCATAGGGAGTGGCACTGTTAGGGGGTGTGGCTTTGTTGAAGTGGGAGTGGCCTTGTTGAAGGAAGTGGGGTGTGTGTGTGTGTGTGTGTGTGTGTGTGTGTGTGTCTTGGGGCAGGGATGAGCTTTGAGGTTTCAGAAGCTCAAGCCGGGCCCAGAATCACTCTTCTGCAGCCTGCTGATCCAGATGCAGAATTCTTGGCTCCCTCTCCAGCACCATGTCTGCCTGCATGCTGCCATACTTCCTGCCTTAATGATAACGGACTGATCCACTTAACTGTAAGCCAACCCCAATTAAATGGTCGCCTTCATAAGGAGTTGAAATGGTTATGGTGTCTCTTCACAGCAATAAAACCCCAACTAGGACAAACAACAACAGCAAAATCCCCCAAATCCCAAAGAACAGAACAAAACCAGAGTAGACCCCATGCCAACTGTATCTCATCCAAGGGGCTTTCAAGTGCAGAAGCAACAGATTGATGTCAATAGAAGGTAACACCCCCCCGCCCCCCAAACACACCCCAACAGCTTAACCGAGTCACTCTTTAGGGCCCAACAGAGCCTTGTAGATGCAATTACTATTGCTGGTTTTTTGTTTGCTTGTTTGTTTTTCATATGCATGGAACTGGAAATAAAGATGGTTGTGAGCTGCTGTTGTCGTGTGGGTGCTGGGGATTGAACCCAGGTCCTCTGGAAGAGCAGTCCGTGCTCTTAAGCACTGAGCCGTCTCTTCAGCCCCACCACTGTTGATTTTTAAATTTTATTATTTTTTATTTTTTAGGTAGGGTCTCCACACTGCCCTTGAGCTCACAATGTAGCCCCGGTTTACCTTGCATTGTTGGTACTCAGCTCTTCCAAGTGCTGGGATGGTAAGTCCCAGCTCTAGAAATGTCACTCTGTGGCACACATCTGTGCCCATCATCCTAGCGGTTAAGGGGCGCAGGCCAGCCTGCACTTTCAAAATGAGATCCTCCCTCTTTTCTCACAAGCCCTGAGATCCCACCGCTAAGAAGCAGGCATCGCCCCTGAACAATTTGTAAGGCACTGTGCATCTTATACACACTGTGACCCAGCAGTTCTACTTCATAGAAGGGAGGGGTGTCTCCCCCACCAGATCCACACACAAAAGTCCACATTCAAACACTAGAAACAGCACAGTGTTCAGCACGCAGTCATATACCAGTAGTCATACAGCGGAACGCTACACAGGCAGGAGGGGGCAATGGCATCTTCATATGTGGGTAAATCGACAGAGGAACAGACCAACACAGACAGGTTTGCATTCACACACAGTGCAGGCAGAGGTGATCATCTGTGGCAATGGAGAAGAAGGCACACGCAGCAGAGCCCTGGGTGGTCAAGGGTACCCGTTGGCTAAGACAATGTATTAGCTACAAGGGGAAGGCTTGGTGGAGAGAATACTTGCTGCCAATCAAGGGGACTTGAGTTCAGATCCCGGCTCCCACATAAGAGGTTGTATATAGTCGGACATGTGCACACACACCCTATAGCCCTAGAACTATGGGGGAAGACAGGAAGGAGGCTTGTTGGCCTCAAGCCTGGCTCCAAGCACAATGAGAGGACCCTGTCTCATAAGATAGAGCCAGACACCCAATGTCTCTTCCTGTCCTCCATGTATGAATAGGCATGAGTGTATCTGCGACACACACATTAAAAAAAAAAAAAATAACATTGACTGAGCTGAAGAGTTAAGACTGGACATGTTCCATTATAAAAATATATATTTTTTACTTTTCATTACTTTTTTTTAATCTTAGTGTGGGGCACACACATGCCATGACTCTAGTGTGGGGGTCAAAGGACAACTTTAGGGTGTCAATTCTCTCCTTACGCAATGTGGGAGGGCTGTGGGTACTGAAGTCACACCATCAGGCTTGGTGGCAAGTGCCTTTCTCTCTGAGCCATCTCACCTGCCCCAGAAAGTTTGTTCAGTAATAATGACCAATGTTGCTAAGCTACTAGAATGTCCTCTGTGTTTCCCCCAAGCAGAAGGAACCATGGACTTTACCAGGTGTCCCCACTCAGGAGGGAGATGAAACTTTGAGGCATGAGGACTGCCTTTCCATTCTCTATAAACCCGGCCCACCAGCTCTCCTTAGCTGGGTGCTGGATTTCAGATTCCTGGAAGTTGTGAGCCTAGATTTCCTGTGCAGCCCCCTGAACTCCTGAGCCTGGATGTCCTGAACAGCTCTGGATCTGGGCCCTCTCCAGGCCAGGCAGTTAGCCTCAGTTAGGTCACTGAGAGCAGGCCAGTGCAAAAAAAAGCCCAAATACAGGTGGGGTAGGGCTTGTTAGCTGTTCACCCCAAGAGCCCTGGGCGACTAAAGGATTAGAGCTGAAAGCTGGGTTGTCAGTGGGCCAAGGGAGGAGGGAACAGAAAGGGGAAGAAGGTAGGAAGGAAAGGGAGGGGGTGGGAAAGACGGAGGGAAGCAGTCAACTTGGTATCACCTGCTGCTCTAACAGGCCATTATGTGTCCCTTCCTAATTAGTGCTAGGACAGGATGGGAAGTAGGACAGAAGAGGGGGTGGGTAATTCCATTCATACACCCCCAAGCAATTGCCAGAGCTTAGACCGGCCAATATCCCCATCACCCCGTGCCTCCTACTGCCCGCCCCCAGCCATATCCCTCTCAGGGATGAGAACCTGAGTGGAAAGCTAGCTAGCCTCTGGTTGAAGCAGGGAGCCTGGCCTCATGCTCTGATAGGGAGAGCACCATGTCGAAAGCCTGGGAAGGGTTAACCCCTTGGGAAACTGGTGTGACTGCCTGATGACCATGACTCCAGTTCAGATGGAATGAACGGGCTTCCTCATCCCGACCTTGGCTCTTTTCCCACGGGGCTGGGCTCTAAAAGTCTGCTTTTTCCTCCTCAGATCTGCCTCCAGCTGAGCCAGGGCATCCTGTTGTTCTCCCAGAATTCCAAACTTTGTCCCTTCTATACTCTGTTGGGGCTTTAAAAAAAAGAAAAAAGAAAAGACAGGGTCTATAGCCCAGGCTGGTCTTAAGCTCCATATGAAGCCAAGAGTGATTTTATTTGTGTATTTTTTTTTTATTATTATTTAGGCAGGGTCTTTCTATATAGCCCTGGCTGCCTTGGAATCTACTGTGTAGGCCAGGCTGGTCTAGAACACACAAAGATCCACGGGCCTCTGCTTCCCAGGTGCTGGGATCCCAGGTGTGGGCCATCATGCCCAGTTTGCTGGGCTTTGTGCCGGCTAGGCAAGAGCTCCCAACTAAGCTACATCCTCCCCCAGCCTCCCACAGGGGACTCTCAGGGGGGCCTATGAACTCAGGAAAACCCAAGCCAAACTATAACAATGGCCACCTCCCTGCACCTCCTAAAGCACAGCCTGCAGAAGGCCTGGGTGGGTGCTGTGGGCAGATCCAACAGGAAGTACTATGGACATGATATCGTCAGGGTCTGGCCGCTCCTGAGTGGATGATGGATGATGAGGGCGACAATTCCCCAGAGGAGGGAACTGAAGAGGCTTCCCAGAGAGACACAGTCTGACCCTGTGACTTCCTAACTGTCCTCAGCACTGCCCACTGGGCACCTAGCCAGCTGGGGTCTCCATCCCACACAGGGATTATGGCCATCTGCTCCCCACCTGTGAGCTCCTGGGCCCTTTTGCTGCTTCCCCAGAGCAGGGATCATCTCCCGCTTCCAGACTTGCTGTTCTGTGAAGCGGATGAGAGCTGCAATGGAGAGCTAGGCCATTCCCCACTACAGACACAGAGCTCAGCAGAATTCCCAGTCCACTGCCCTGCCAGCCTCTCCGGGACATAGAAGCACTCCCTCCAAATGGCTGGGGACGCAGAGGCTTCACGCTCAAGTTTAATGGGGAGAGGATGAGGAGAACCAACGATGAGGAAACTAGGAACTTCCACTGTGCTCAAAGTCCCCAGGCAGAAGCCAGGAATGGGACACACAAAGGCTATCCCAGACCTTAGGGTGGGAAGGCAGATGGGTTACCAGTTAGAAGCTATCCTCAACTACACAGGGGCACTTGTCTCATAGACAGAAAGACAGACAGGAGGGTTGAGCGGGGGTTGAACTCAGTCCGGTGCTTGCCTAGCATGTGGGAAACCTTGGGTTCCACCCCCAGCACTCCATAAACAGAGCACGGTGACACACCTACCAATCTAGCACTGGGGAGGTAGAGGCAGGGTATCAGAAGTTCAATATCATCTTTGCTATGTGGTGAATTCAAGGCCAGTCTGAACTACACAAAACCCTGTCTCAATCGATCGATCGATCAATCAATCAATCAATCAATCAAGAGCTGGCAAGATGGCTCTGCTTCCAGTACCCACAAGGTGGTGCCCATCTCACCTGTAAGCCCAGTTGCAGGGCATGCAACCTCCTCTTCTGGCCGCCACTGCCCGCGCCCCCTCCCCAAATCCCAGGACGCAAGCAGGGCCCTTCTTGCCCAGGAAGGTTTTGGATCACAGACTGTGCTTACCAAGTGGGCTGCTTTTCAGATGAGCTGCTCTGCTAAGCCGGGCTTTGCTTTCTAGGTCTCAGCACACAAGGAGTCACTCCTGGATCCTAGCTGCTGATTTCCCACCTAAGTCACACACACACACACACACACACACACTCTAAAACCCACATTGTTTGTGACTTTCCCATGCATTTTCCAGTCCGTATTCTCTATTTTATAGAGCACAGCCCTTAGATACCCGTCACCTCAAGGCCATTTGTCTAAGGACTGCATCACTGGGTCTGGTTATGTCCTGTGCAAATGCCTGTACCGTGCTTGCTCAGTAGAATAACTCATGGATACATGCAGACAAGGGGAAAAATTCCCATGTGCCTGTGCTCACACAGCCATAGGGCTATGATCCCACTCAACCAGGGGAATGGCAATGCAGCTGCCTCAAACTATGCTGGCTTCAGAGAAGCCTCAGCCACTGCTACCCTGCTTATCATGTCACCCAGGCCCTGCCACAACACTCAGCCTCAAATTAAGTTTGCCGAACCCCGAGCTGACTGACAACAGAAGGCATCCAGTCTACTCTGTGAGCTCACCTGTCTCCGGTGCTCAGGATGAAGAGACCCGTGGTCAGACAACAGGGGAACTTACCAAAGTAGGAGTGGCCTTAAATAACACCCAATGCCAGACTTCCCTTAAGGCCCCCCACACTCATCTCCCAGGGCCTTGCTTCCCCTCGTAGCTGGGCCAGGATGGAAGCAGGGAGGAATAGGTACAGTGGTCATGGGAAAGAGACGAAACAAAAGGTTTGGGGGTCAGGACTCTGCAGGCAGGGACCGTGAGTGGGATTCACCCACACAGCTGCCATCTAACCATAGACTGGGGGTGGGTGGAGTCAGACTCAGGCCATGGGGGGGGGAAGTACCCACGCCACCCCTCTCCTAGCCAGGGGTGTCCTTGACCCAGCTGAGAGGCTAGATTTCTTCGAGGAGAGAGGACAAAATACGGTTGGGACCTAGAGCGCAGGCTCTGGGATCTCTTCACATCCCCAACCCAGCTGTTCAGAAACCCCGTATCATCTCTTTTCAAGGGCTTGCTGAAGGAAGACGCCCCGCCCCGTAGGTAGCTGTGCCGGTAGGCACCAGTCCTGGGGGAACACGCCTTCCTCCCAGCGGGGGTGGTGGTGGTGGGGGGTGGTGGTGGTGGGGGGTGGTGGTGGTGCAATCCAGAGAGGTTGACGCTGCATTGTTTGGGGGGTGACAGTACCCCCCAGCAGCACAAACGGGTCCCATCCTCACAGAAGAGCAGGTGCTGTCTCCCCAGGCTTGCAAGCAGCAGGGGCATTGAAGGTTATAAGGAATCCTGGTCCTGGATCCTGGGCAGTGCACAGCACAGGGAACAGAAGCCCCCGGCCTCAGAATGAGGACAGTCTGGGAGGGAAAAAGCCACTCCTGGGCACAGCCTAGAGAGGATCTGCTGGGCCACACTGCCACACGATCAGGAGAGGGTGCCTTGCCACAGTAGGCTAAGGTCAAAGTCCGACATGGGCACAGAGCTCTGAACTGATAATGAGCCTCTTCCCAGGTTGCCACAACTTCTGAATCTTTGACCTATGGAGTGTGTGTTTGTGTATGTGTGTGGGGGGGTGGCTCAGCCCAGGCCACAGAGGCCTTGGATTTGACTGCAGCTGAGATAGGTTGAGAGACTGTAGCTGGATCTGGATGAGAAATCAGAAGCCTGGACCTACCCACCAAACCTGCAGAGGGAAGGCCCTGTTCATCATGGAAGTATAGCTTGCCCGGGAACCAAGACCTCGGGATTGCAGGGCCTAGAAGGTGTAGGGTCGTCAGGATAGGTTGCGGGATATGGTGTGAGATGGGGTGAAGCCACCTTCCTTCCTTGACTCAAACAGCTGTGGGTTCTTGGAGTCCAAGAGGCTAGTCACCCACGCTGCTTCTCAGCCCCCCCCCCCCAAGCCTTCCAGAAGGGGTCAGGGCAGAGGTATTGGCAGCTGGGGCCGGGGTAAGGAGCACCGTGGACTCCGGAGACTCAAGTCAGTTTCTGCCTAAACTTCTCTCAGGCCACCAGGACCGGGAGAAAAAAACGTCTGGTGGTTTAGTCTCCGGAAGGGAACTTCGGGGCACCCCTGCGCACCCAACTCGGCCGCCAGTCACCCTGACTCAGATGCCCCACCCCCACCGTCAGTCTCCGGGTGGCTCAACCTCCGCCTCCAGCGCAAACTCCGCGCGCTGGCTCTCCTTCCCCAGGGCACTCTAACTCCGATCTTTCCAGCTCCCCGAACCCCGAGGTTCCCAGCCAGTTCGAGCGTCCCGGCCAAGGGCCCCCGGAAGAGCCGAGAGGACCCAACTGGGGACAGAAGGGGTCTGACCGCGGCGAGCGCGGGCTGCCGAGGCAAGAGAGGATGGAGCCGGGACCTGGGCGCGCTCGGGCCAGCTCCGGCTCCGAGGGTCCCTTTCGGTGGCTCGGATCTGCGACGCACGGGCTTACCTCCTGGTAAGTTTCGTCGCCGGGGCTGAAGGTGCTGTCTACCCGCTGCAGGCGCAGGCCGAGGTGCGGGACGCTGTGCAGCCACACAACCCACCACGGCGCGATGTACTCCACTCGCGCCGCCGGCATGGCTTGGAGGAGCTCTAGCCGGTCCGCCGCCACTGCCACGGCCGCTCCCACCAGCCGGCTGAGGACGCGATCGGGCCCCGCCCCGCCCCGCCCCATGTCCAGCCTTAGGCGAGGACACGCCCCGCCCTGCACAAGGCTCTTAGCCCAGGCCCTGGCCCACCTCTCTTCCAGGACCCCTTCCTGAATACACCCATCCATCCGCTCCAGAAATTAGGCCCCAAAGCGTCCACTGATCCGATGGACGAAAAAGGTGGAAGGTGTGAAGAGAAGTAAACTTCAGTCCCTAAAATGTGATGCCTTGCTATCACATCAAGATTGTGGACATTTGATGGCGCATGCCTTAGAACAGGATGAGTTTAAATGTCTTCCTCAGGTCGGTAGTGAGTTGGAGGCCAGCCTGGACTATGGGAGATCTATCTTAAAAAAAGACCTACTGCAGTCAGACAGTAATAATAAATAAATAAATAAATAAATAAATAAATAAATAAAGGAAAGGAAAAAAGACCATTTAGTTGTCAGTGGATAAGTAATTAGTGATCTTGGCCTAGGAGGCTGGACTAGCCCTTCTAATTCTATTATTTATTTATTCACTTATTTCTCAATATGTAGATCAGGCTGGCCTTGAACACATAGTAATCAAGTGCCTCTGCTTGGTATTAAAGGTGTATGGCACCCATGCCCAGCTTGTTCATTGCAGTGTTGGGGTTAGAACCCAGAGCTATTACTTTCAAATGTGCTTAAATCTGTAGGGCAGGAAGGACAGGGCTGGGGAAGTCCTAGAGGGGCAGGCAGAAGGGACACTGGAAGGCAGGGCCACCTTCATGCCAGACTGACAGAGACAAAAGCCATGAGCCCTTGCAGACCACACTGAGGATGTGGAGGGCAGCACACACGCTCCGGTGCCAGGATAGAGGGTGTTAGGTGGCGGCGGCGGCGGTGGTGGCAACACCAGAGCAGTCACATTCAGCAAAGCCCCACCCAGAATTAAGTGCAGAGCTCCCAGACCAAAGCGCAGCAAGGATTTGAAGCCGGAGGTAGGTGATGGGCAGGTAAGGGCCAGCAGCACACCTGTGAGGTGGCCAAGGGGTCAAGTCAGGCTTGGTTGGAAACAGTGCTGGACAGGTGGTCAGCTGGGGCAGACTTGGTGACACCGAGTAAGAAAGGAGACACCGCAGAGGGCGGGCGGGGGCAATTAGCTTCTAGCTTGGAGGATCCACTAGATGCTGGTGGTGCCCTGAAAACTGCTAAGGGTCACATGCACTGCTGGGTAGAACAGGTGCCCCTGCCCTCAAAGAGCCTAGACAGGAGAGCCCTGCTTTGCAGCCGCAGGGGCCTCTCCTCAGCTGCTGAACCTGGCTACTGTCTCTGCACAGCCTCGTTCTCACAAGGATGTCTCACCAGTTCAACACTGTCTAGGAAGCCTCCCCATCCTAGTGATGACTAAGACCCAAGTTTCCTGTTTTTACAGTGTTCAGTAGGGAGGTTTGAAAACTCTGAATTATAAACATGCCCAGTATTCTGGAGTCCTGCAATTTGTTTAGGGAGGGGGGGTTTGGGGCTGGCCCCTCCCCCAGGGACCTCCAGAGGGATGAAGTGATGAGTGAGGGGAAGAATTGTTGGATGATGTCTCCAGTGGATTCTGAGTGGCAGATGGGAATCTGGACAGGGAAAACAGTCTCTGTGCAGAGACTGAAGGATGAGCAGCTGCAAGGCAAGGGCAGGGAACAGCTGGGACTGCTTCCTAGCAGAGTTGATGGAAATATTCTGCAGTCACACAGCTAAGAGTCTTTTTCTTTCCATCTTTTTCCTTCCTCCTGCCCAGAGTTCCTCTGCAGCCCTGGGTTTGTAGACTAGGCTGGCCTCAAACTCAATACTGCCTCTGCAGTATTAGGATGAGAGGCACACCTCTCTTATCCTTTTATGACAGGTTCTTGTTAGGTAGCCCAGGATGGCCTTGAACTTGTGGCGATCCTGCTTGTTTCCCAGGTATCAAGATCACAAGGGTGTTCCAATGCATGTAAATTATACAGAGAAAAAACAGCTGGCATAGTGACCCATGCCCATGAGCCTGAGATTGCCTCACTCAGGAGGTGGACGGGTCACAAGATCAAGGCAGCCAGGGCAATGTGGTTGACAGCCTCAAAAGAAAACCCTCTTACTGTGTCCCAAATAAATAACGCAATAGAAAGGGAATGGAGGGCGAGGCTGGTTGGAGCAAGGGGTAAATTTGTGTGTAGTTCCTGTTGGCTGCCAAGCAGGGAGAGATGTATAGCAATTTCTCTAGAGTCCCTTTCACGGCACCAGAGGTGCTGCCCAGTGTCCTGCCCTCAGTGGCCCTGGACAACACTGCTCATGTCCCCCAATAGTCACTTATTCCAGCTGGTGCAGAGCCAGAGTTTACACTGCCAAAGGTCTGACTGAGCTCTCCCTAGGGCTACAGCATGGCCACCTGTGTGCAGTTCAGGACACCAGACTGCTGGGCACTCTAGCTGCTCCTGGGGTACTGATGAAGGGAGCAAGAGGAAGTGCTTCCTCTGCTGACACACATTAGCGGGGACCTCAGCAGTCCTGAGTCCCAATCCCTGAGGGCAAAGGCAGCATAGAGCAAAAGCACCCCCATCCTATGACTCAGGCTGGCCAGGCCAGGCGGCGCTGCAAGCAAAGGCACCTGCAGTGGACAAGGCCAGACACGCTGTCAAGCTTCCTAGGAGCCAGAACAAGCCTTCCAGATACGTGCTGGAGGAAGAAAGAGCCAAGGCTGTAAGCTGCCTTCAGTTTCTGTAAACACCACACATGGGTCAGGTCCTCTCCTGCCCTGCCCACTCTTGGGATAAACAAAACCATCTTCCAAAATGCTCAAAGCTCACCCAAGCAGATTACTTCTGGTCACAACTGGCCCGTCTGAGCATTAACCACCCTCAGTCCGCTGGACTACACTTTCTAAGAGCAGACAAAGAAATGCCAACCATAGCACATTAAATTGGGTACAGCACTCATGATACATCTACAGTCCCTGCACTCAGGTGGAGGCAGGTTTCAAGCCAGCCTGGGATCCCTGAGATCTTCAAAAAACCCAATGCCCTTCCCAGTTATGGGCTCACTTACTGCAGTAGGGCACCACCTGGTGGTGGACCCAGTGTGGTTCACAGCCACTCTGCTGGGCTGAAAATGGTTAAGTGTAATAAGCAGCCCCAGATGATATCCTGCACTCACCCCACTAACCCCCATGCTTTGCTGTCTTCCCTTTCCCAAGTCTCACAGCATGCATTTTCTCTTGCACCCAGGGGTATTCCAAGGGCAGCCAATGAGGATGGCTATGTGGCTTTCCCCACAGCAGTATCACTTCCCATGTAATGACTGAGGACACATATGACTTTTTAGGGTTTTTAATAGTCAAACGCAGAGGTCTGGTTCATTTCAGCTCTTTCACCGCCAAACCTGGGGGAACAAAGAGAGATGGTTGACATAAACATTGCCCTCAGACCTAGCCCACCACACTTGACAGGATCCTCTGCAAACTCGGGATTATCAAAGAGTAGGTAGGTGCTTGCGAGGATTAAACGAACTATAAACTAGTGCCAAGGAAGCTATTTTTGGGATCAGACAGAACCTGAGACAACCATGCCCTGGCACTGACCACAGCAAAGACAAACACCGCCTACCCACCTCCAGGCTTACTCACCAGGGGGCAGGGACTGCTTCAATTTCTCAGCTTTCTCTTTGTCTGTGATGACCAGGGTGTAAAGGTACCTGCTGCAGCGAACCTTGAACTTCACATTATCCTTGTTCTTCTTAATCTTGACAGCTGCCAAGGAGACCAGAATTAAGGATGAAGCTGTGGGCTTAGCACAGGCAGCTTTTCCAGAGGTCCAAAGTTCAATTCTTAGCAACCACGTTAGCTCACAACCATCTGCAATGAGATCTGGCGCCTTCTTGAGTGCAGGCACATCAGAACCATGCAAGAGGTACAGAAAGGATGGCCACAACTGGTCAGACAGACAAACAAGCTCCCATCTCATCCCTCCCTCCCCCGAAATGGTGCATTTTCTTTCTTTCTTATATACTTAATGGGTCTCAGTGCTTACTGAATTCATTTGCACATGCACAGGAAATCCACGCTTGGCACCCTAAATACAGCACCACAGAACACCCTAAAATGACCCATGACAGCCTTTTAAAGGGATAGTCTGTAAAGGAAGGAAATGAGTTATCTGCTGGAATTACAACTTTCTGGCCTTCCACTTCTGAAAACCAATTTTCTGCACACAAAGTGCCCTTTTAGGACACTGTATTTCAGTGTGCAGGGAAGCTTCTCCTAAGTTTTTTTGTGGGACCTGGCTCTTAGAATGAGGGCGTAGGTGTCCGGAGTCCAAAGAGGGCATCACCGCTACAGGCAGCTGTGAGAACATCAGGGCTGTTAACCTTTCGTGTTGTTTGTTGAGACGGGTTTCTCCGTGTAACAGCTCTGACTGTGGGGAACTCAGAGACCCCTGCCTCCACAGGGATTCAAACCTCACACCACTGCCTGGCCGGGGCTCTTGGCTCTTACGCTATCTCCTGGTCCTCTACCCCATAATTTTACCTTGTGACTCCAGCTCAGGCATGGGCCAGGTGCACCTCAGATCCCATTAGATAGATCTGGCCATCCTGGGCAATTGTCACACCTTCCCCCTTCCCGACACTACCATCAACTCCAGGCCATAAAAGCGGCAAAGCATTAAAGCTTCATCGACTAGCAGCACAAGATTAACATGAATTCTCAACTCCATCTCTGTTGGTAACTGTTTTAGAGGCAGGCCATTTCACAGGAAGCACAGGGCTGAGCCTGCTCAAGGCACAGGCTACGCTGACTTTACCTTACCAAGTCCAGACACCTGAATGCAGCATTTTGTGCTGGCAGTTACTGTACCCCCGAAAACGAAGTCAAAACAGCATTTCTGGATGTGACTGAGTTCTTGAGGCAGGGTCTCATGTGGCTGGGCAGGCCCTGAATTCACTGTGTGGCTAGGTTACAGGGCTGTTCCACCATGCTGTTTACCCACTGCTGGGAAATGAACT